ATACCCTAATTCTCTCCTTTTCAACCAATATTTCTTTAAGTTTTCTGTCCGTTCTATGCTTTTTTGCTCTTTCAAAAACTTATTTATCTCTTTGACATGAAGTGAAACAACATTTTGAAAAAAAAAATCCCTCAAAAAAAGTTCAATAACCTCTACCTTAGAAAACACACTAAATCTCTCCATTATCCCACTAATTTTTCTAACATTCTGAGGCTTTTCTGATTCAACAACATAAAACCTTCCCATTGTATTATCTTTGTACTCGTGACTTTCTGACTAACTGACGTTTATGTTATTGACCTTCAAACCTTTTTCTTGTTATCAGTTTTGTAGTCGGGGGTGAGCCTCCAAAAGTTGGTTTTCTACCTTATATTGTTATTTGAGGTCCTTAAAATTCCATAGCTTATCAGAATTTGAACAGGAGGATAAAAGATAGTTTTTAGTGGGTTGGATAGTGCTCCTAGGTCCGAATTTCAAGCTTCCCATCAATTTTGAAATTCTCCTTTTAAAGAAAAAAATCATACTTTTTTTGATCTGAATCCTTCTTTAATAAGAACTACTTTTTAAATTTAAAAAAATCTGAAAAATTCTTCTAGGAAATTCTTTTTATAAACCCGCTGAACTCTCGATCCACACAGCTAAAAAAATATTTCTCCCAATATCCTTCCTGAATCACCCGAGAAGCACTTTTATAGCTCATAATAAAGGCTATTTTCGCTCCTTCTTTATTGCTATTCCCAAGTTTCAGGGCAAACTTCTCAAAATATTCTTTCCACTATATCTAGAGTTCAGAAAGTTCTTGTACATCAAACGAAACCTTGAAAATTTTTTTCAATTACTTTCTTAAAAAATTAAAAAAACGCCCGAATTTCGAGAATTTTTGAACGAGCTTCTGTCCTACTTTTTCCAAAAGTAACATTTTCAAAAAAAAAATTTAAACGTTTCAAATTTTAAAAAAATTTATAGAATATTGATTTTTTTTCATAATAATCACAAGAAAAACAGGTTTAAAAATTGTCCAAACTCTATGGAAAAATCAAAAATCCTAAATTTTCTGTTATTTTTTTTGAATGGAAAAAAACCTTGAAAAATTGTTAAATTCAGGATCAAATCGAATATTTTGAGCCTTTCTGTTATGACTTTTGAACCAAAATTTTCTGGAACCGTACAACTTTTTCCCTTTTTGGCATTACAAGAACACGCAAAACTGTTCGCATTTTATGAAAAATTAGGAAAATCAAAAAAAACTCATCAAAAACCTCCCCAAAACCCGTTGAAAACGGAATTTTTCCCACATTACCCACAAAAAAAAATTCCCTTATCAAACTCTGAAAACCCAGATTATTCACTTTCCCATAAAAAATCCCACTTTTTTTCTCAAACTTTTTTTCTCCTTATCAATCTAGAAACCTTACAATTTCTGTAATAATAATATATATTTTATGAGTCAATCGACATTTCCTGCTTGACGTCCATTCTCAGTATAATCGGGATCATCTCCAACCGAAAAAAAGTGTGGAAAGGGACAAATATATTAGAACTCCCACATATTGCAAAAAAAAGGAAAAGACGGAAAAAAGGGCGTATTAAGATATGGTTCCGCTGGACTTATTCGTTCTTTGTTTTACGTTCTTATCTTTATATATTTTCTTTAACTTATCCTCTTTTGAACGGCAGTGGCCGCTTTCGGAATTAACTTTAAATTATTCCAATGCCATCCCGCGAAAGTAGTTTCGGGTCTGGCGCAAATTTTGAGCTCTCTCTACGCCTTAAGCCATTTAAAGTGCGACCCTGGAGTTTCGAAATTTTCTTAGAGTTATTTGCATTCCTTGAAGAACTTGAGTCAAAAAGGGGGCTAAAAAAATCGAAAAATAGATATTTTCCTCTCAAAAACGTTCCTTTTTTTATCTTTGCATTTTTTTTGTCATTTATCGACGGATTAATGTATTCGAGAGCCTTTTACGTCCCCCCGTGATTCAAAAAAAATCTTGAAAAATTCTCAAAATAGTCCTGACACGATAAGAAACGGTTTTACAGTAACCTAGCAATTTTTCGTAAAAAAAAGCTTTTGGCGATTTTTTTCAGTCTTGAGCACAATGACTCCTAGTTACGCCCACAGGAAAAGAAAAATGGGCGTGGCCAGCCAATCAGTTACGTTTGAGAACTTGATCATGAACTAACTATTCCATTTTCCATCATATTCAAGAAAATTTTTTGAGCTACTTCTTATTAATTCTCATTCGGAATCTATAGTCGCATTTGGAATGGCTTAAGCTGATTTTTCTGAAGTGCGCCGGACCAAAAACGGTTTACGCACGAAGGCGTTGTAAAGCACACTACCGCGACAACTTCAGTTATTCCAAGCAGTCCGAACAAAAGAATGATTTTGAGACAAGAAATTTAATCTTTCAAGGCCAAAAAAATTAGGAAAAAAATAAAGTTTCCTAAAAAGTTTGAAAAAAATCATCTTTCTTCTACCCTTCAACTGAATTCCACCACAGAACAACCCTAAATTCTAAATGCATGACATTTTTTTCTACCAAGAAAAGGCCTGGGACGTTTTCGAGAATCCCTTATCATAACGAGCCTAATTGCCCGGCCAGACGTTTCCCAGACAAATTATTTAGTAATTAAAGTTTGTTTGAATGGAAAAAAGTTTTCCAGATCTTTCCACTTTTTTTTTGACGTCAATGGAATTGAGAAATAATGGGCATTTTTCATGTCCATTTTCTTAGTTGACGGCCCCATTTTTTCCGCTTTATTTCGCCATTAAATTTCTCATTTTCCTTCTTCTTTCCACTCAATGAAAATTCCTTCGAAATCATTTTGGAAGTCCACTTTGGTATATTTCCTCAGCTTTAGTAGTTTAATTGGAAGGTTTCCCCAGCGGATAAAGGTATAGATGACTCATCTGAGAGCTTCTTGTTCGAAAAAAGTAAGGGTTACTGTAGGATCAACCAGTTTTTGCCCAGTAACTTGCTATTCGTTTTAGGACCATTTCTTAAATTTATATTAACTATATTTAAAATTTTCCACTTGATGGTTGCATTTGGAACGGCTCAGCGTGGCTGGAACGTGGTTGCGCCCGACTTGAAACGGTTTTCGCAAGTAAGAACCAGAAAGCCATTCCAAGTGCGACCACTCCGAGCTACTATGTGCAGCCAACTTTTTATAATTTTCTCTCATTATTTCGATTTGAAGATCATCCTTTAAAAAATTCTCTACTTGAAAACACATGGTCGCACTTGAAATGGCTCAGCGTCGCAGGGACGCGGTTGCGCCCGACTTGAAACGGTTCTCGCAAGTAAGAACCAGAAAGCCATTCCAAGTGCGACCACTCCGAGCTACTATGTGCAGCCAACTTTTTATAATTTTCTCTCATTATTTCGATTTGAAGATCATCCTTTAAAAAATTCTCTACTTGAAAACACATGGTCGCACTTGAAATGGCTCAGCGTCGCAGGGACGCGGTTGCGCCCGACTTGAAACGGTTCTCGCAAGTAAGAACCAGAAAGCCATTCCAAGTGCGACCACTTCGAAGCATCTACATCCATCCAACTTTTTGATATTTTCTCGAATTATTTTGATTTAAAGTACCTCATTAAAAATAATTCTCTACTTGAAAGCCCATGATCGCACTTGGAATGGCTCAAAACAGCTAAGTCGCGGTTGCGTCCGACTTGAAACGGTTTTCGCAAGTATAAACCAGAAAGCCATTTAAAGTGCGACCACTTCGAGCTTCTATGTGCAGCCAACTTTTTGAGATTCTCTCTTAGTAATTCGATTTAAACTTCATCATTTGTAAAACTGAAAAACCATGGTCGCACGTGGAATGGCTCAACACGGCTAGGTCGCGGTTGCGTCCGACTTGAAACGGGTTTCGCAAGTAAAACCAAAAAGCCATTCCAAGTGCGACCAATTCGAAGCTACCACATCTATCCAACTTTTTGATATTTCCTCTAATTTTTTCGGGCATAGAACACCATGTTTTCTTGTTTTTTCGCTCTCTCGATTCGAATGAAAGAGAAAAAGAAGCTTCCGAAAAAACAGCTGAAAAAAGAGGTAATTTCGAGATAATAAGTTATTTGCAGCTTCAATATTTGTTCGAACACCCAATCTTCTCCCTTTACGCTTTCTTTTTTCTGCCTTTTTCGCGTGTAGGAGGCCTTGGGTTCAAATTTCATTGTCTTTACTATTAATTTTCATTATGGGGAAATTTTTATAAACTTTGGTTAGCGTTGGATTTTGGTCAGACTGATCTCAAAAAAGGGTACGAATTCCCTTTCTCAATATTCTTTAAGCTTAAAAAATGTAATAAAAATAATATCAAAAAATCATTCATAAAACTTTTTCGCTCTATTTTTTTTAGTTTAATCGTTTTTGTTAAAGAGAAATCCCCTTTTTTCAATTTTTTTATAAGCTTGCCAATACTAAGAATGTTCTAGTTGGACTTTAAAATTACATAATATTTTTTTGCATCGCCGAAACTTATCTGCGAGCCTTCAACTTTTTGAGGATTGCTTTGAGAAAAAAAAAAATCATTTCTCTCTACGAGACTCCGCTAGAACTCATCTACAACCTCATAGAAAATTTTTTTGAGAGACCAGATTTTTTTTTTCGAACCTCAGACTCGAAAAGCCCTTCTTACTTTCTCTGCACCTTTCAAAATATAATTTTTAGATGCTTTTCGACAATTCCACAGGCGAACTCCCACCTTTACTCATAGAATTCGCCCAACTTCAAAAGGAAGGATGTGAAGGAATAGTGGTTTGTAAATTTTATACTTTCTCTGAGGGAAAATCACAAAAAAAAGACCTAGAAAATGTCAAAAATTGAAACTTTCAGCAAAAATTTATAAAGTCCATTCACGACCATCTAGACTTTTTTATCGAAATATTAGTTCGGTAGAGCGCATTCGTTCAGCTCAGCAAGCCACGGATGAAACAACTATTTCAAAAGAACTTTATTTACAGGTAAAATGCGAGGAAAGGCCTTTGGCAATGTTCCTCTGGGGCAAATGTTTCCTGCCGGTTTTCCTCCTCGCAATGATTGGCAACTTTTTGAACCTCGTCGTCTACAATTCTGACCACATTCGTTACTATATCGCTATTCGTATGCTCTGTACTCGGCTGGTCAGTTGATAATAATAATAATTATTATCATTCAGATAAAAATGTGGAACAAAAAGACACCTTGATAGTTCGTGTAGAAAAAGAAGATCTTCAAAAACCCGTTATTAGTTTGAACTATCTCAGAAAAATCAGAACAAGTTTCTAAATTTTCGAAAAAATCAAAAATTTGAAAAAAGTCAAGATATGAGGGGATGAAATCCAGCTCCGGTCTGTTTTAACACAAAATGTACTGAGAAAATCTTAGTGGCCTCCATAGGGTTTTGACGTGTTAATAGCCACTATAGTAGCCGATTTAGTGGCCGCTTTAGGGGTTAAAAATTAGTGGCCACTGAAGAGCTCTAAGTGCTACTACTAAAGTTCCCACTAATGAACAATAAGTGGCCTCTATAGAGGTGATTTTAGTGGCCACTTTATTATCCTCTTCAAGTGGTCCTTGGGGAGCCTCTATAGTGGGCACGAAAAGTTTTCCGTCATTATAAATCTTTACCAAAAAAATTAGGGCCTGAAGTTCGACTTTTGCGCTCCATGGCTAATTTTTCTCTGGGAGCACAGTTTAAAAATATAGCACCTATTGCTCTTATATCAACTTCAAATACTTTCAAAATTAACTAATTCGGAAGCCTCGTTATTCGATTTTCATCAAAACCTGACAAAACTTGTAGCTGATGAACACCCTGACGATGGTCTTTCTCCTGCCCTATTCACTACGGATCAGCGAGGTCTGGGAGCACGGCTCCGTCATCGACGAGTACTTCTGGCAATACTACCCCTACCAACTATGTTTCGTCAACCTGTTCGGCTTTTGCGCCATGTGGTCCGTTTCATTCTTCAAAACCTTTCTTTGAAGGAAAGTTCCAAAAGACATTGTTCAAGTTACGATTAAGACCTGATGTTTGCTCTTTCTGTAGTTTTTCTGGTAACTTTTCACTTGAAATTTCTTAAAAATAGTTTGTTAGAGCACATTTGTCGAATTTTTCAGACTCTTATTCGATAACTCGACAAAGTGATCATAATTCTCAATTTTCCGGAGCGTGTGAATCGATCTCCCAACTTATAAAGTACATTTTTCCAGGCTAACAGTCCTGATGACAGGCGAGTGCTACCTACACGTCTTCTTCCCGTCTCATTCCAAGTCCTGGTGCACTAAGCGCAATCTTTCAAGGTATAGTTCATTAGCAACAACTTGGAAGAGTCTGACATGTCTGCGCTCTCTTCTCCCTCGTCGAAGAGATAATAGAAACATGAAAATAACACGTGAACATGAGAGAAGGGCAAAGGCGACCCGCAAAGTAAAAATGAGTGAAAGTATAGAAAATGAGTGAAAAAAAAGCTAGCAGATCAGAATAAAAGCGCAGAGAAATCAGATCATTCCAAGAAAAGTGATTTCTCATTTTTTTTTTAATTTGAAAATATTCTCTTCAGAAGCTACCTGGTGATCTTCTCAGCGGCGACAGTTCTCGCCATTTTCTACCCACTAAATCGGACCGCCACCTTGGATGTGCACTGTGGAAGGGTTGTGGTCACTATCGTTGCTTCCGAAGGTTCGTTTTGAACTCAAGGGGCACAAAATGCATTTTACGAAAAAGAAAACGGGTTCCAACCTCCTCGAGGTAGTGACTTATTTCAAGAAAACTTGGAAGCAAGTCCTCGAAAAATCACCCGCCCATGTTCGCTGCCTATATGCCTTTAGTACTGAATCATCAATTATAAGAATAACTTTTCCAGATTCCATATACGAAATGCTAGAACGAATCCACACTGTCGTGAGTCTGGTGGCGGCGATTTTGGCGCCAATGGGACTTCTAGTTTTCATGACGTCATCAATCGTTTGGAAGCTCCTTCTAAGGAGATCCGACTTTCCCAACACGTCTCATTTCACGTGAGCTTTTCTAAAGATCTTAGAAAAACATAGAAGAAGAAAAACTTAATAAAATCAAAAAATCTCTTTTTTTTCAGTTTTTTTTTCTTCGTAAAACAAACATTCTTATCAAGAGACCTTTAAACTGAGATATAAGAAATATGTTTCCCAACCAAGATTTCTAAAATTTTTTCCATTTCAGGGCCGAAAAACGTTGCGTTACCAGAATCACGCTTATCACTACAAGTCTTCAGGTAAAAACTAGCTTCACAGGCAAAGTCCAAACGACCTCAAAAAGGCCTAAGGAGAGCCTAAAGTTCCTTTTTGAGTTTCTAAAAAGGTGTCCAAAGTTTCTCGAAATACCTTTTTTTCGCCTTTTGTCCTTTTTGAGACCTTTTGGACTTTTTCCGTGTTTATAAAACTTTAAAAAAATTAATGGGTTCGATTCAAAAATGGTACTTTTTTGGGGTTTTCCGCTTAAAAACTTTTTAAAAAAATCCATCCAAATCTTGATGTAACTCAATCTTTCATTTAAAAAAAAAAGATGATGGAAATAACTGAAATAGTTGAATTTTCTGCAGAGAATTCGCGAATGACTCAAAAATCAACATTTTGAATAGAAATATTTTAATTCTGTTCCTAAGCTTTTCTCATAAATTAATGAACTTTCAATTCCTTTGAACTTATCTCTCTAATATTTGATTTAAAAACTTTTCTAAAATCAAAGAAATTTCCTGTAAATGATCAAAATTACACCTGAACTTCATACTTTCACCTCCCTAAAACTCCAATTTTTTTTCTTCCGATAATTTCCCAGAACCTCCTCTCTACTTTGTACTTTGAACTTGTAGCCTTGCTTTTTTCAAAATTATATTATTCACCAGTTTCTCAGATTTTTTGTACTTGATCTCATATTTTCTAACTTTTTTCTAGGATTTTCTCATTTTTTTTTCTACAACAGTTTATACTTTGAGCTTTTCCCTAGAACGCTATAGTATCCAGTGATTATTCAGACGTTAAAAAATTGTACCTTCAGCTTCTGGCCGAACTTCCACCTGTCCCGGTGTTCGTCTACGCGTCAGTCATCGGACCATTGGTCACGAATATCGAGGCTGTTTGCATCTGGAACACTTTGGGTACATTTTTTCATTAAAAAAAAGCCATAAAATAAATTTCATACTTTTTAGGGCTTTTTTAAGCTTCGTAGAGTCTAATTTTAACCCTTAGAAACTTCTTTTTTGGTTTTTATTTTTTGCTTGCAATTTTGGAAAAATCTATGGGGTTTTCTCTTTCATAGGGAAAAAAAAAGAATATAAAAAAATAGATTTTCGCACCTTTTCCGGTTTTTTAAACTCCATGAGATCAAATTTTCCCGGAAAAAAAAAATCTTTTTCACTAACTATAGGGTGGTGCCTAGAACACTACATACTTATTTTCAAAAAAAAAAAACCGGGGAAAAAATCAAAGTTTCAGGCGTTTTCCTCGGCCTGTGCAACATAAGCCTCTCCTTCTTCGTCTACATTGTTTTCTCGGAAAAATTCCGACAATTGGTCAAAACGTGAGTCTTCCCGTGCTTCACAAATGGTTTCTTTTTCAGAAAAAAAAAAATTGAAAATCTTTCCGTATCTCCAAATTTCTCCATTTTCACGCAGTATTCAGGCTTTTTTCATCGATCGAAAACTAAAAATCAAGCTTGATATTTACTGCCAAAGTCGGAAGTGCGACCGCTAAAAGGGTTCCTTTTTACGGCCTTTATTGAGCCTTTCATTCTTGGTGGGCTAAAAAGGGTCATAAAGGGCGAAAAAAGGGAGAGGCCGCAAAAAGGGTAAAGAAAGAGTGAGGGTGCAAAAAGGGTACTGAAAGTCTCGGCCCCTGCAGATTTTCGATTTTATTACTGTAGCAAGTTTTGGTTCATACACATGGGAAAGACTATTCTGAATTTAAAAATTTTTTTGTTTCTCAAAATGGTCCATAGAGTGGATAAAGGCACATGAAAGGACGGAAAAAGGCAGTAAAAAGGAAACCGTTGCCACCCGTTTAGGAATAATTAATGGAAACCCTTTTGCACCCATAACGCACATTCAAAAGGCCCGTAAAGGGTCCTCCCGACTTTGCCTATGCCGTACTTTATCTGAACCCCCTTGATCCGAACCTTATTTGATCTTGGAACTTTCAGCCGCCTGGGCGAAATGTTCTGCAAATGTGGGTCGGCCCAATCGAGGATCACCCAGTACGGGGCCACCTCCGGGACGGACCCCAAAATCACGACCAACCTGCTCATCAAACCGCCAAAAAGCACGGAAAGTGAGCAAGACGGCCAAAGAATCTTCCGTATTCTCGATTTTAGACTCTTGCTGCACCGACACCTACCTTATCAATGAACGATCTTCGGCCGCCGAGGACGCCTTCCTCTGATTTTCCTCCATCCGATCAACCATTTCTGGGCGTTTCCTTGTGATATATTGAGACTAATTGATGGTTCATTCACCGCTGGTTTCAGTATTTTTCTGAAAATTTGAAAGACTTTCTGAGCTTTTTAAGAATTTTTATTGAAAGTTCCATTCAAAAAGATTTTCAAGAGATTATCGAACAAATATGAAAAAATAACGATTAAAAAATCTAAAAAAGTCATTTTAGCCGTTTTTCTCAAGCTGTCCACGAGCCTTAAAATTCAAAAATATGCTTTATTTCCTTAAAAGTATAAATTATATACTTTTAAAATCGAAAAAGTCATTAGGAAAATTCAAAATTGAAGAAAATGATAACAACGTTCAAATCTGTACAGGCGATGTGCCATTAAAACGTTAAACACAGTTCAAGATTAAATCTTTATATTTTTGAATAGGAACGATATTTTGATGATAGAAAGATAAGGCTGTGAAAAAAAGCGAAATAAAAAAACATCAACAAAAAAATTTCACATTTAAAGGCGCATGGACAGCGCTCTAAAAGATCTTTCGATTCGAAAAAAATTACGTATTTTTATACTTTTTATTTTCAAAGCCAGCAGTGAATCGACTTCATTCCAGGGGTTCATGAAAATTGAAGCAAAGTCCGAAAAATGATTAGTTTTCAGTCGCTCAAAGAAAAATCACGAAAAAATTCTCCGTGGAGCGCATTTTCTCATTTTTCAGAGCCAAAATTTTCATGAACCCAATTTTCTTTCTACTGGTTCCTCCTCCGGTTACTTAAAAAAAAATTGTGATCTCCTGAAAAAAAATTAATCAACTCAAATAGACTTAGGCACCGAATTGTGACACCATTTTGACGCGATAAATAAAGATATTTTGCAAAAATATTTCTTGAAAAAAACAATAACACAGAGAAATGCAATGATACAAGTATATGGGATTTTTAATTTAAAAGAAAAAAGTACAAGAAGAAAAATGGGCGCAATAAAGAAATTAATCAAAGGTTTTTCAAAGTGGTTCCTGAGGAAAAAAATTGGATTTTTTTATTTTTGGCGTAGAGGTGACGGCATGGGGAATGGCTTAATGCGTGTCGTGGAGGTTTCTCTTTTCAAAAAAACGCAGATTCAACGCATTGAGTCATTCCAAACGCGACCATAGCGTTATAGAGAAAAATAAAACAAGAAAAATCGTTAATAATCAATTTAAAAGATAGGAAAGTACAAGGTTATGTGCAAAAAATAGATTTTCAAGGAGATACCTGAGTGAGATTTTCGAGTCAAAGAGAGAAACAGTCACAAAAACAACAAAGTATTCAGAATTCAGGTCATACAAAAAATCAGAAAAAATGAACAAATTGACCCAAAAGTGAGCCGTATGACAGAATGAAAGTATCAACACGTTTTTGACGTTTCAAAACATCATTTCTCTACAAAATTTGTTCTCGTAGTTCTGGAGTTGGGAGCCAGGCGACTCGTAGGAAAACAGCCAAGGCCGATAAGTTCAACATCTCGAAGACGACCAGGAAAAGATAGTCGAAACGCGAGAAAACCCGGGCCCATTCTCTTTCGACCTGAAAATGGAGATTTTCCTTTTTCGGCATTTCATAATTTCAGTAGGAAACTTCTGTTAGAGCTTAACAAGATATTACGTAAAAAAAAAATGACTTGAAAAGGTGAAGAAAAAACGCCTAAATTCGCTACATGTAAGAGAGTAAAATGCTTTGAAAAACAGTTTCCTGATGGAAACAAAAAAATTATTTTTAAGCTGTAAAAAAATAATTAGTAAACCAATAAGAACATTTCGAAAAAAACACTGGATTTTTTTGAAACGCTTAAATCTTTTGAAGTAAAATTTCATCGGACGGAAATTCCATGGATTTGCAGTTTTTTTAAATTTAAGGAAGGTTATTCTTCAAAGTAATACATGGGATGAGCATGACTGGCAACAGCCAAGTCCCCCCCTTTTGTACGTCATCGTTTCACGTTTTCATCTTTCTAAACTTCTTTTTCCAATCTTTCAGCTACAGCGGACTCATTTGAGCCTTTGAAAAGGGGTCCTGACACGATTTTAAAAAAAAGACAGTGCCTGATTAGGGAAGGGCGCAGACAGGCCACGCCACTTTGGGTTGCCGTGAATCAGTTACAGTATAATTACAGTGAAAAAAATAAAAACCTATTTGAAATCTTCATTTTACCAAAACTCCTCCCAACTCCTTCTTCAAACCCACCAAGATCTTATTCGCCTTCTGAGCAGCCTTTCTTCGCATCGATCGATGCGATTCTGCGACTTCTTCCATCAAAGAGCAAATCGCATTCAACTCGGCGACTTTCGAATAGTGAATACTGTAAAACTCAAACAATTTACACCCGAGTAAAACACCCAACCAATCATTCTCCTGACTATAATGATAGTTGAAGCTTCCCCGGTTGACCGTGGAGCGCCGTTTCCGGTGCTCGGACAAGAACATCAATCGGAGAAGCTTTTTCGAGGGCATTTGCTCTGGAAAACTCTCCTTTCAGTTTTGGCGATTTCGGACGCGTCGCGCTCGCGTTGCGGCTCATCAATTTTTTTTCCTACTTTAACAGTTTTGAAATTCAGGCGGAAAACTTGAATTATACTTTTATTTACCGGCTTGAATTCGATATACAGAGCCTTGTACGTAGTCTTTCCTAGTTTAAAATTGGAAAAACTTTCAAAAATGACCGAAAAATGCTCATTTTACGTCCCAAAACGCAGCGCTACCGCGACACATCGAGCCATTCTCCATGCGGTTCTCCGTACCTTTATGGATATAATGTCGACTGACGGCCAGAAAAGCCATGGAAATGCCGACAGCGACGGCGCAAAGAACAATCACAACCAGAATATAATACCCTAAAGTTAAAAACTCGATTTTTTCTTTCATTTTTCCCTAACCAAGTAAAGGGATATCGTTGCTTTTCGGCATGGCTCCCGCAACGATTCCCAGGAGTACGGTCATTGCGAGAAGAGATCCAAGGCCGAGGGAGACCTACGAAAAAATTTATAGAGAAAAAACAAATTGGCAAATGAGAAGCGAAGCCATGAGCATCAAAGTTGCAAGGTCGGAAAAAATAAATGAAAAGCGTTCAAAATCATAAATTAGTATAGCTAAAAAGGAAGCGTCGAGATGTTTCAGATTATTGTAAAGCAAGACAAATTGAGTTAAAAAGAAGTTTTTTAAAGGCGCAGGGTGTCGGGAAAAAAACTACTCTGCGCTTTTAACCTCTTTTTAAAGGCGCAGAGGCGATCATAAAAATCGGTAATCATAAAATTAATTCTCATATGCGCCTTTAAAAGAGTTCATCAATTTTAAAGGCGCAGAATAGATGGAAGACCCTTCACGATTTTTTTAAACAGCTGTATCTCATTCAAAATCGCTGTGAGAACCAAAAAATAATGTTTTGACTCCGCCCTGCGCCTTTAAACTTCTCAGTTTTATTTAAAGGCGCAGGATGCATAAAAATATCAAAAATTGAAAAGCGCTGAGAAGTTAACAGAAAACCCATCAAAATCCTTTGAAACAGCGGTATCTCATACAAAATCGCTGTAAGAACCAAAAAATTATGCTTTGACTTCGCCCTGCGCCTTTAAAAAAACTACATCTTTTCAGTTTTGAAGTTAAAAAAATTCAAATTTCAACTTTTCAAATAATTCCGAAAAACCCCTCTGAAACATCTCGAAATATAATTCTACACTAATAATCTCTAAAAAAAGCTAGCAACTCACATTCTCACTCGATTGTGCCTAAAAACAGATTTGAAATTATGAAAAAGTGTAGAAGTTAGAAAAATAAAAAAGAAAAAAGAAATGAAATTCGATTTTTTTTTTCGATTTATAGAGGCACAACATCCTTGGAAAAACCCAGAAAACGCATCATTTTTTATCAACCTTTTCATTCCTTGGGCCTTCATTGCTTCCGGGGCTAAAAATGCCCAAAATCGAGAGGGCAGAAATCAGAAAAGTTGGCGCCACAATGACGGTTATGTAGTAGATTGGCCGTCGTTGCAGGTGGAATATGTAGTGGACCTGGAATTTTCGATTTCCTTAATAGAATAGTTGAAATTTCTCATTCTCTACGCATCAAAACACTGAAAAAAATCGAAAAAGAAGAAGAATCAATTTTTACCACAATAAAAAAACGCTGAGAAGAAAAACTGAGATCTTTCAAAAATGTATGAAGTTTGAAAAAAAGGACTTATAATCTTACTGACCTCATCTTTGACTGCCTTTTTTTAATTTGACCCCATTTTTTTCAGAAAAATACACAAATTCCTGCATTACAATAACTGAAATTTTTTTCATATCCTACGCATTGAAAAACCGAAAAAAGTCGGTGAAATTGAATTATGAATGAATTTTAAACTTGAAACTACGCAGATAAAAAAATCAAATTTTTTTCAAAAAGTAAATTTTTTTGAGGAAAAATAATTTTGAAAAAGGTGGATTTTAAACGCCTCGAAATTTTTCAAAATTAAAGAAAAAAAGATCAGTTTTTCATCGAAAGCGGAACTTTAAGCTTTTTGAAATAAATATAGAAAATATAAAAAAAGTCTGAAAATTATATCAAAGATAGGGAAATATGAATTTTACTAACTGTTTCCTTTTTTTTTAGGATCTCTCTTTTCTACTGTTGGATATATTTGGAAATATTATTTTCTGACTTATTTTCTACTCTCCAAACGCTTTCACCTTCAACTTTTTTTATGTTTTTACCTCAACTCTCGATTCGCCTTCCTCTTCGAAAGTCATATGTCGAACTGTCACGTTGAATAGGTGCCACTCGGCGTTTCCCTGTGAAAAAGACTTTTCAGAATTTTTTTTATTGTATTCTAAGCGCTTTTTCTTGTTTTTTTTTTTTCAATTTCACATCTCACCTTAATTTTTTTTTTTTTTTTCTATCAGAAAGTTCTTAACTCTACTATAAATGAATACCGTAAAATAAGAATCTCTGGGCGGCTGGGTCGCGTTGACAATCATCTCGTTCACGCTTAACAACGGAGAAGCCAACGCCACGGCGCAGAACTGAAAGAAAACTTTTCATTCCAAAAATTTTATTTGTTAAGTTATAGGATTATGAAAATGATTCATAATTGCTTTCTGACAAGGGGAGTACAATATTTTAACATTTTCCAACCGAAAAATCGGGTATCTAATGAGATGGCCGCAAAAATGGGGCCGTTCGAAAAATTCCAATAATTTTCGACGCTCATTTCTTGCCGGGAGTTTTTCCTCCGGCTAACTTCTCATGGCGTTTTCATACTCTTCTTCTTACGCCTTTGTACCGCTTGAGCGGCGTCGGCGCCCCATGTCGATTAGGGGAAGGGGGGTTCTTATCCTGATCAGGCTAACTTCTCATGGCTGATCAGTGATAATCCGTGGACTGGCTCGAGTGACATATCCGTCCTTGTGTGTGACGGCTGGGGATTTTGAAGTCGTGGTTTCCCACTACCAACATTTCTTAAACCCCTTGGTTGGGTCGGGGCGGGGATCGAACTTGTGACCCTGTGGACCGTAGGCAGGCACACAACCTGTTGCGCTACGGCGCGCCCCATGGTGTTTTCATACTAAATCATAAAAAATAAACCTGGCAATCGAAGGGAAACGCCTGGGTTTGTATCCGACATATCGCTTGAACGTACTGCGGGATATTTATCTGGAAAATATTCCTTGATTGATAGAATATTCCTGAAAAACGACCTTCACACGGCCATTACTGTATAAGCGTACATCCGCCCTGTTATCCGTCAACATATCCTTCGATTCCAGGCTGAAAATAAGGAAATTCTCTATAAATTTTTCATTTTCCAATTAAAAAAACCGCTAGAATAATAGATGAAACCCTTCGAAACTTTACCTGGTGAGCTAAAAAAAGGTGATTTCGGCTTAGGTACAGGAAAAAGTGGATTCTAGCAGTGACATTCTAATCGATAACTACTTTTTTTAAATTAAAATTTGAAAGCTCTTCGAGCCTAATTGACCTTTTTCGACATACATTTTCAAGAGGATTTTTTCAAGCCTATAAAAAATCAACCTGTTATAGACAAACAACTTGGGGATCCACACCATGCTCTGCGGTACGATGACCTAAAATCCTCCATTTTTCTTCATTTTTCCCCTCAAATCTACAAGAGGAAACCTCAGATTGTCCCCGATAATCCTGCGGATTCCACTGCAACCGACGGTCGTACCATCGTTGTGTGTGGGAGATCACGTAGGCCGCAAGTTGTTGGTTTTCTTTCTGAATTTTCCAAAATCATTGGAATGTTTAAACCAGTGCCGAGGCGGCCGGTCAAGGTTTGTTCGGAAGCCAAGAATATTTTGAAATTTTTTTTCAAGTTAAATAAAGGGATCTAAAAAGAAAAATAAAGGGACCTAAGAAAGTACCTCTCAAGATAACAAGTCAAATCACGTCTTACAAGTACCCGAAATTCCCCTTGTATAGCCAAAAATCCTTTCCTAAACTACCGTAATATCATCGCTTCGAACAGGATATCTATCAATTCACGAACTATATCAGGTTCGAGAAAGAAATCAAGTCAAACTTCAATAAATCAAAAAAATTCCTTTTTTTTCATAAAAATAATTTTTTTAAAAAAATTCCAAGAAATCCTAGATAAAATTGAATAAAGTAATCTGAAATAAGGCTCCAAATGCTTTTAAAAATTACTATCTTTGAAAGTTACAAATCAAAAAAATTAAGCCAGAAGTTTGCGAGATTCAAAGTTAAATTTCTGCCCCTTTTTTTTTTACTTAAAAAGTCTTCCAGGAAGCTTCTCCCTTCTTATCTGAAAAAAAATATAAGATTTCCCGAGTTGAAATGTCCTTCTACTCGTTAAAAAAAAGCTCGCTCGAGAGTTCATTTCCTAAAAAATCTCAAGTTTCAACTTTTTTTTTCATTGTTTAAAATAATTTCATTCAATCCTTTCCGTAAATGGCTTCCCATTTTTGTTCCAACGAACCCAAAAAATCTCATCCAAAGATCCGAAGCAACACAGAAAAACACCCGATTGTTCCATCCATTTTCAAGAATTGTCACAAAAAAAAAGGGAACTCAATTAAGAACGGCTTCTTTGTGTATGTTTTATGTCTCGGGGACAAAGTTATCGAGTTATTTTCTCGACATGAAAGCTTCGCATTACCATTACGAATGAACGTCTTGAGCCTCAATTTACGTCGCGAAAAATGAGTAAAAATTAGCAAGGAAGGCACTTTTTGCGCTCTAATTTGCAAGCTTTTCCTACACTCCTTTGAAAAAAATAAGAAAAAAATAAGGAAGAAGGAAAATAATGAATTTTGAACTTGAAAGTGTCTTATTAAGATTAGGTCTTGAGACTTAGATTCTGACGGAAAAATAACTTAACATGGTCCAAAAAAAAAAACACTTCGACAAGTTTTTTTTGAGCTCCACGTCGCGAAAAAAATAAGTGAAAAAGAGGCAAGAGGACTGTTTTCTGCGACTTTTCCTATGACTTTAAAAAGAATGGAAAGAAGGGAAATCATAAATATTCAACTGGAATCTTTTCCTCTGAAATTACGTCTTGAGAGTCAATTTGAGTCGCGGAAAATTAGTAAAAATTAGCAGGAAACAAACTTTTTGCACCTAAATTTGCAAGATTTTCCTACACTTTTAGAAAAAAAAATTAGGAAGAAGGGAGTTCTTTTTTTCTACTTGAAAGGTTTCTTTTGAAATAAGGCCTTGATCTTAAATTTAAGTTGCAAAAAAATGAGCAAAAAAATGAGCAATAGACGAACTTCTTTAATCTTTAAAAAAGAAAGAAAAAAAGTTTTTTTCGAAAAAGGCGCCTCACTAAGAAAAAGGTCTTGAGCGTTAAATTCTGACCGAAAAAAATGAAAAAAATGATTTAAAAAAATATTTTCGATTGGTTTTTAAAGCCCGAAAAAAATTAACATTTTTTTCTTATTCATTCGACAAATGCTAAAAAAATACTGAATTTATAAAGTGGAAAAATTGGAGTCTTAAACCCGATAAATTTGTTGATTGACTCTATAAAAATCTAAAATTCAAGATATTTCCCAGCTCTTGCGCTCCAATGATAACTTTACACATTCCTTGCCTAACCTTTCAAAATTTTTCTAGGTCCTTTTTAAAGACTGGACTAGAATCACTCATAAAACCAAAAAAACACCCCTCTCAAAAATAGCCTCATCATATTTCGACTCTTGCGCTCCGCGGATAAATATTTTCTTGGCGTTCCCCAGAAACTTCATCTTTATTATCTCAGACGGCAGAAAAAAAGAAAGAAAAACCCGGCTAATTCATTGAGGATCGACCATGCGGAAATAAGTCAAAGAAAAACAACTTTTCGTCTGCCGGATGCTGAGAAAAACGACCAAAGCAAAGGAATTGATTTTTTTTTTCTTGAGACAGAAATTATTTTAATGAAAATGATATTGAAAAATTGAACTTTGGAAGTCATTCGAGGAATAATTTTGTCACGGTCTCAAAATCTATAGCAGAAACGAGAAAAAGAACATCTTTTGAATGGATTCCCTTATAAGGTAAGCTTAAAAAGTGTCCCCTCACAGAATCTAATAGCAGAATCAATATAGGTAACTCAGGACACCCTTATTTTGAAAAAAGCCAAAAAAACTGGGGTTTTTCTTCATTTAGTACAGTTGAAGTGACTTGAACTTCAGTAATTCAGTAAAAAAAAAGGCATTTCTGTGTCTTAATGACATCATAATCAATAGAACTTCCGATTAAAAAATCAAAAATATTTTTTTTTTCACAGCTTTTGCTCCCCAGAACTTCAACCAAAAAACGTGAAAGCTCAATAGAACATTCAAAAGTAAAGTATACTTCGGATTCTTGAACCACAAACATAGCCTAAGGCTATTTGCTTGATTCGGCCAGTGAAAAATTAGTTTCTATTGAAGATTCTGAGGGTATATTTTTTTTTTTCGGAGGGGTTTCAATTTTTTTTTTTTTTCGTTCTGTCTTGGAAACGATTTCACTCTTATTTCAGGCCATTTTCCTCCAAAATTGAGATATTTTAGAGCTTTGTCCATAGAGCAACTTCGCTGCAAATCTTTGGAAACTTTCTTGACAAGATTTCAAACATTTTTCTTGTTCTGTTTTGGAAACGATTCGACTCTCTTATTTTAGGCCGTTTTTCTCCAAAATTGGGATCCTTTGGAGCGTCTAAAGAGCAACTTTGCTGCAAAACTTTGGAAAAATTTCGCACTTTTTTCTCGTTCTGACTTACAATTTTTAGAAAAGATTATTTTCTTTCATAGTTTAGGCGATTTTTCTCTGAAATTGAAATCTTGAAGAGCTCATATTTCAAAAGCCTACATATATTTTGTTCATCTTGCTCAGACTGACCAACTCGATGAGGATCCCCAACACAATGGTCATGTTGATGAGGACGGGTCCGTCCGTGAAAGGGATCACGCGGCGGTCGTAGTTGGCGAAGACGTCGCGCAGGATTTCCGTCGTCTCGTTGTCTGCAAAATATTATTAATTATGAAATTAGATCCCATCTTTTGTGTTGATTTTTGGTCTCAAGTCAGTGTCTTGAAGAAAATAGTCTAGGGAAATGGGAACTTATGCGCTCCATTGATTATCAGATTGACATTTTTGACTTCACTCGGACGTTTCTGAGCTTTTTGGGGAAACTCAAAAATGCTGAAGCTACTAAAGGGGTCACTAAAAGGAACGTCCGGGGACTGAGTAACTAGTGTTTTTCTGCAAAGTTTTAATAATTATAAAACAAGTTTATTTTTTCTCTTTTTTTTTAAATCAATGTCTTGGAGAAAATAGTTGAAAGAAATGGGAGCATTTGCGCTCCATGGATCATCAGAAAAAATATTTTCGACTTTCTCACCCATTTAGTGGTCATTAAAGTGCAATGAAACCACTAAAGTAACCCCTAAATCGAATATAACTATGATGCAGTTTTTCACACTGGTTCAGAATTTTTGCTCAAAAACTGCCCAGAAAATTTGTAACAAAAATCGTGGCTATTCAAATTTTGTAGACTCAGCTTCTGAATGATAGAACTGGCCTCGGTGATAACGAAGAGCCGACCTTTTTGAACTCAGAAAAATTTTTGAGCCTATACATAATTTTTCGGGCTTATTCAACTTTTTCCCAAACCACCTCGGCGTTTTCTGAGTTCAGGTTCAAATTCAGCATACCAAACTGCCTTCAGTAACTAAATCTCATTCGGAAGTTGAAAAAAAACTATCTCTTAGAAATTTCTGAGAATGTTTCTTTGTGAAACACAAAAACTTGAAGCCCATTCTTCAATTGACTATGTGTAGTAAAGATCTCACGAGTTTCACGACTTCCTATTTCTCAAAAAAAGAGCTCAATGCATCAGAATAGCCCTTTTCAACAGGCACATGTTGATTTCCTTTGTGTCCAAGGCTTCCGTTTTGGAAAACTAGAAAATTTTCGCAGGAGAAAACTTCCTGAATGTATTTTTTAGTTCACCGAGAAACATCTGAGCCAATTTTCATATAAAAAAAAGAGTAGAATAACGTCCCTTGGAGGTAACTTTCTCGACTTTATAGCCAAAGCAAGGTAATCGCTCAGAATTTTCCCAAATTTGTTCATCATTGTCTTTTTACTAACTTCTAATCATATCTTATTAATTGTAATTATCTTATTTATAATCAATTAATTTTTTTCAATACACTTGTTCAAATTTTACTTCAAAAAAAGTGACTTTTTATAACTTCAAGCTCATTTTTGCTCCCCCCTTTCACAAAAAAATAACAGTTTTGATTTTTTTCAAAAAAATCTCACCCATTTGGAGGAAAAAAACTCCGCCTTCCCAACGATAATATCAGTAGCTTGAAATGAAAAATAAATATATTATATAATGAATATATTATATGAGAAAAAAAGTAGCAACAACGTAACGGAAACGAAAAAAACGGGAAAAAGAAGTGCATTTCAGTATACATACAATGTGAAATGAGCCATGAAAAAAAGCTCTATTTTCGAGGCTTTTTCCGTGACGTGAGCTTTAGACTTCTTACATGGATCTCAGTTTCCAAGATTATTTATTTTAATTGAGGCCCAATTAGAAAGAAGCTTATGGAGTCTAGAAAATAAGAGAAAAAGGGAGGAAATGCGAATAATTTTGGATCTGTGGGCGGACTCGCGGCGATCCTTATTAGCCCTCTGAAGTTCCCATAAAGTTTCCTAATTATTCATTTGCAAGCTACTTCTTTGATAGCATAAAAAAAGAGAAAGAGTAAGAAGTACTTATAAGGAAGTAAAAAAATTGATGAGTGCCGGAATTCAAAAAAGGGGACAATAAATTTGTTCTTGTTGACCAAAGTGAGACTTTCAAACGTTAATTTTTTTTTCTAGAAACATTTTTTATAAAACTAGGTTAATTTAAAAAAATTTCTGGACACTATGACTTGACTCATGAAAAAAAAACGTGATAAAACTTAAAATTGTAGTGAAAAAGAAGATATTTCAAATAAAACTCGAAATTCAGACTAAATATTCGATTCCGGAGGTTCTGACGGTTTCAAAGTGTACTAAATTCCTGGCCAATTTTTGAAAAATTAAGAAAAAATCAATGCATTATCAAAAAAGGGTTCTGAAACGAATAACGAAAGAATGAGCTAAACAGGAAAAAAAAAACCACAAAACCCGAAATTTTTTTATTTTTCAAAAGTTTCCCAAGAAACTCACAGTCCTAAAATATTACAAAAAAATTACTCAGCGAGTTTTGAAAAACTACAGAGAATCAATAAATTACAAAAAAATGGTTTTTGAAACGATTGACGAGAGAGTGTGTAAAAAATGAGAGGCTTCTACGAAAAATATAAGTATTCTAATTTTATTCGTGAATTTTCTAGGCAAAAAAATAACATTATATCAACTTTTCACAAGCTTTTTTTCGAACCTGAAAAAAATTGCCTCTACATCAAAAAAATAACTCTAATTTCATTTTTTTAGAAGAAAAAGGAATATTTTTTTAGAATTTTTTTCCTTCCTCGTTTTTTTCAAAAAGACCACTCCAAATCAGATTTCTTAGAGTATTTATTTTGGAACGTCATAAAAAATGACGAAAAAAAAACTAAAAGTCTGTGGAGAATGGCAAAAAAAAAAACTCATTTTCTTGAGGCACCGGCCAAAACAAGCAAAATTGGAAAATTAACATGGGGGAGGGGGAAGAAAAACTTTTTCCTTTCCTCCTTTTCCCGTTTTTGAGGTTCCAATTCAATTTCAGGACAATTTCAGAACAATTTACGGCGAGCGGAACGAGGTCCATTAAATGGAAATTCGAAAAAAAAGGGGGATTTCAGTTTTCCAAATGACCTGGGAATCTTGGAGAAAATTGAATTTTTCCGGGATTTAACTGAAATTTGTTTTTCATGAAGTTTAGCTTGTCACAGGATTTAAAGTACCAATGAACTACAAAAAAAGGGTCCTGCAACGATTGACGAGTCTACAGTAACGTAGGCCTTTTTTTAGACTAGCTGACCGGTTAATGAACTTTTTGTACGTTGAAATAAAATTGGCAGTTGAAATCGTCGATCGCGACAAAATCAAAAAATGTTCAAAAACCATTGCATGATTTCGTTTTCATATGCTATTTCGTTATTCGTCCCAGGACCACATTTTTAAAAATCCGCTTAACCTTTCTCCAAGTTGGAAATTGTATTACGACCATGCGTTTGGGAAAAAATTGATGATCTCCTTATAAATCTAATGGAAGGTGACCAAATTAAATATGCCGTTAGATCTTTTTTTACTTCCTAAGAAGATACTTAAGTGAAATTTCTTTCTTGAAGGATATTATGAAAAAAAAAATTAACTCGTTGGAAAATTGAAAAAATGTCCAAGAATCACCAGTATTAAAACTTATCAAGTCAAAAATATGATTTACGAAAAAGTTCTTCATGAATATTTTCTTATCTTATTTTTTTCAGCATCAAGATTTAGGAGATACAAAAAAAGCAATCTGAAAAAAATCGTGAATTAAAAAAATCCGATTCATCAAAATGAAATTTATATTCAAGTACGTTCACTTGAATAAAAGGTCATTTTCTCTACGAATTTTCCCCTTTTCAACTTACAATAAGCCGCTACAGTAGGCAGAAGAACAAGATAACGATTCGTGGTGAGACGCATGCCGGAGGGAGACTCTAAAAATCAAAATTAATTGAAAAAAAAAAATCCTTCTTCTCTTGAAATATTAGCGATTGAGAGAATGGAGTTATAATTCAAAATTGGGTCGTTAAACATTTTTTTTTTGTTCACAAGAGCATCCGGAATATGAGAAAAGGTCTCGGGGCGAATTTCATTGTTATTTTGTTCTTTCATATCTTCTGCGCCTATAAATTATCCAGGAAAATGTTCTCAACGGACACTGAAGACGGAACATTTTTGAATGATTTAAAAAAAAATGCCCTATCGATTCGAGACCTTACGCAATATTCCATGCTCCTTCAAGCACCCCTGTAAAGATTTTTGAACAGATTTTTAAAGGAACACAAAAAAAAAGTTAAAAATGAAGGGCCTCGAGTATAACCTATTGCGGAGAGAACCGATGTGGGCGTGGCAAAATGAGTGACTTCTCCTTTCCACGACGGAAAAAAAAAACCCAAAAATACTTGGATTTGCTTAGACTTTATGTTTTCGGCAATGGATGAGCATGCCGCAAAGTCATTTGGAAAAAGAGAGCCAATTTTTTTCCTTCATTGTATACATCATTAACGAGGAAAACATTGTTTTCGCACAATATCTCAGCTTCGGCTGAGCTTGGATGCAGAAATACATAAAGAAATTGTCTGGGAAAGGGCTATAAACAAAAAGAAAACATGAAATAAAAAATTAAGCAAATGAAATAATTTCGAAAAAAACATCTGTTTCCATCATAGTTTTGAGAAACGAAACTTTGATTTTTGCGTTTCAGACCCAGAAAGAGAATACAATATGAAGATCTCGAGGCAAATAATTATTCTTTTTTTAAATAGTTTATTCCAGATTTTTTTGTACCTCTGAAAAATTTTAGAGAGAAGCTTTTTCTACAAGAACACAAACTTGTTCTTAAAATTGATGAATGAGATAAGAAAAAGAAGAAAAAAAGTTTCCAAAAAAATTATTTCAAGTTCAAAAAAAGTTCACAACTATAATTATAATTACAGGAAACCCCAATTTTATCCACCAATTAGAAAAAAGCCAATCAAAAAATTGCACTTATTAAAAAAGCCTTGAACCCCTAAACTTTGCTCTTTCTCCGAAAACTCTCACTGCACTTGTTGATTGCAACGAAAAGGGCGTATCCATAATTACCTTAGTTAGTGCAAGAATATATAAAATCATCACAGAACGATTATCATAATAATTTGCAAATTTACATGATATAAAAATAAATCGAGAGAAAGAAGAATCTTCTTTTAAAAGTTATTCTCAACCAACTATATTGCTTTGCAGCTGACGCAAAGCAGTTTGAATTTGATTATTAGAAGAAGGACGGCATAAGAAAGACCAAAAAGAATTTCAAATTCAGGCTGAGCTTTGATCGAGAAAATAGGTGGAAAAAATAACTATTTTCTTAACAAAAAGACACTTGTGAGGCTCACTTTGAGCAACGTTTAGCAACACTCTGCATTTCTTGAAATCAAAAAGAAAAGTGAAAAAAAAAGAAAAAAAAAGACGTAACCTTTTGAACTGAAGCAAGTGCGCTCTAGTGTTCGTTTTTCTCAAAAAAAAGTCCCTCAAGGGGTTTCTAATTTATTAATTACATTTCTTACTTGTTTTTTTCTCTATTGCTCGTTTAATATTTATTTAAAAATATGTTTAAATATATTATTTTTTTAAAAAAATAGTAGTAAGGTGCGAATAAGGTATGAGAAAAAAATAAAAAAATTAATATTTTTTTGATCATTAGATCAAATTTTGAAAAAGATCGCTTTTTCGGCGCGTTTAGAAATCTTTGGCGCGGAAGCCACTATAAAAGGCTAGAGAGCCTTAAAATTTCATATTTTCCTTGCTTTTCGTCTGTTGGATTGGTCTAACTCATCTTTATTTTCGCTTCCTTTTTTATCATGAAAAAATGTACTTTGCTTTTTTTTTAACTAAACCGTTTTAATAAGAGAATAAAATAGTCTTTATTCAGTTCAGATTTATTTCTAACTCTTCTCAAGTCTACTTTCTATGTTTCTCAAAAACAATCGCCTTTTATCTAAAATTTCGCAAAGTAACTTATTTTTGAAATGGTTATGTTATATCTCTTCGTATTCCCTTCTGTTTGCTAATTTTTCTCGTTTTATTCCTAATGAATGTCATATTTGACTAATTTCCTTTTTTCAGGGTATGAAGACAGTGAGCGCTTTGAGTGTTCTTCTCCTGTGCGGAGCGGCCGTCGCTCAAGGTTACGGTAATGGTGGATACGGTAAACCACCAGCGCAGGACGTCCCAACCACAACGAAAGGTGATTCTTGTAGAAGAAAGGATAGGAGAAAAATTAAATATTTTAGGATACTACACTCCACCAGCGGCGGACGTCCCATCCACCACTACCACAACTCGTGAGTTAGAAATAAAATATTTTCCGAAAGAAATGTGGTGAAAATTTTCAATTTTCAGGCCGACCAGTGACAAGGACCACACAGGCGTACAACGGTGGCTACAACCAGCCGTCGACGCCTTCCCAAGACGTCCCAAGCACCACCACCAGACGTAATTTTGAGCATCGGAACGGGAAAATAGTGGATTTTTGAGGCTACACTCGACCCACCACGACTACTGGAGCTCCGGTTTACGGTGGTTACGGTCGCCCTTCGACTCCTTCTCAGGATGTCCCGAGCTCCACCACTAGACGTACGGTGATAATATTTCGAAAAAATCTTCATTCTTTGCCATATTTTTGTGTTTTTTTTTTTTTGACTTGCCTTGCTGCTGCGAAAACTTTTAGTGGCCACTTTAGGGTTTCGACGTTTAAGGGGCCACTGTAGCAGTCGAGTTAGAATTACTGAAGAGAGAACTACTATAATAGCCACTAAGACGCAAAAGATGGTCAGTGGCCACTTTAGTGTCCTCCTCATTTATTCTTTGAGAAACTTCTCAAGTTTTTCCAGTACCTTTCATTCTACAGTTATTAAAGGCGCATAACAGGATTCATAAGCTCAAATGAGAAAAAATGGTGTACAGTATCCTAGATTCAAACTCACGAAAAACAGACGTTAGTGATTCAAAAACGCAGTCCAGCAGGTCGAATTTAGGTATTTTTGCTCAAAGTTTCACTTTTCGACGAGAAATCTTCCTTTATACTTTATTGAGATATTCAAAGAAAATTTTAAAAAACTTTGATAAAGCTATCAGGCAGATGATAGTTTTTCAAAATTTCAAATATAACAGAATTGTTATGATTTACAACTCGTGAAAATTGAAGGGATTCAATGAAGGATGAATACGAAGCCTCGAAAAAGTTTCGTGGGCTTTTTAATTTCAATCTGAAACGTATTGAATGTTGCAAAGGAGGCTCATTTCATTTCAGCGGTTTTCTTGGAAACTCATGAAATTAATGCTCACTTTTTGGAATGAAAGATCAGAGAGAGGAGATTCTCCTTTTTTTAAACGTTCTGAAACGAACTTTAGGGACATCAAATGCTCATATAGCCTATTCCGCGCCAGCTTGTCACGTTTTTCTGCCCGCCAAAAAGACCGTATACCAAATTAGATCAAATTTCTGCGTTTATAACGGCAAGAAACAAAGGTCTTGAAGCGAAAGTTGGTTAAATTTGACCCGGCCTTTTGGCGGAAAGAAAACGTGACAAGCTAGCGCGGAATGGCCTATAGTTTTGTACTAAAAGTCTTTTTACTTGACTAATTCTCACTTTCACGCTTATTTGTTCGTCTTCCGACTTGTATTCCAACCTTCCTATCGGAGAAAATGAATGAGAAGCCCTCGGATAATTTAAAAAAAAGGCCATTTTTTGAATAAAAAAAATTTCAGGCTACACTCGCCCTACCACCACGACCACTGCTCCAGTTTACGGTGGTTACGGTCGTCCTTCGACTCCCGCTCAGGATGTCCCAAGCACAACTACCAGACGTATGGAATTCTTTTCTGAGAGCTATGGTGGAAGAATGATTCTAAAAGAATCTCAAAAAACTAGGCAACTGAGAGAAAATAACAGTAGGAAGTCTCGGAAGTACTCGTAGAATATATATGCCAATATTTTTGCATTTTGATTCGCATGACTCATAGGAACTACGGAAAAAATGACTCTTTGAAAAAAAAAAACTTTTCCAATTGATCACTAGAGGGGTCTATTGGACAGGACAATGATTTCTTGATTTTTCTACAGTAACACAAGCATTTGGAAAGAAAAACCTTTACTCGAACCTTGATTGATAACTCGACGCCCCTCTAGTGACCTCTTGAAAATTATTTCTTTTACTTTTTTTCTCTGCTTTTTAAAAATCTGTACTTGGGTCATTGGTCATTCCCAAAAGAAAACGGAATATTTTAGGCTACACTCGCCCTTCCACTACGACCACTGCCCCAGTGTACGGTGGATACGGTCGCCCTTCGACTCCCGCTCAGGATGTCCCCAGCACCACCACCAGACGTAATTTGGAGCTTCGGAACACTGAAATAGAGGCATTTTAGGCTACACTCGCCCAACCACCACTGAAGCGCCAGTCTACGGTGGATACAACCAGCCGTCGACGCCCTCTCAGGACGTCCCAAGCACCACCACCAAACGTACTGATTGAGGATTTCTTAAGGATAACAGTAGGAAAAACGCATGGAAAATAATTAGGAAAAAATTGAGTTTTCAAGTTGAAAAGTAGTGGGAAAGATTTTATTGAGTTTTTGATTAGAAAGAAGATTTCAGACTGATTTATAGATTGCTTGTGCCATTGAAAAGAGGGTCCTGATAAGATGAGAAAAGAGTGGCTGAATACTGTAGGGCACAGATAGGCCACGCCCCTTAGCGTCCCGGGAATCTGCGATAAACTCTATCAGGAAACAAGAAAATCCCTCATTTCCCGAAAACTAGTAACTTTTTAGGCTGTAGCTTTCAAAATCTTTCATCCTGAGAAAGTCTTGAACAATTCTTTAGTGAAATGAGCAATTTCACCTCCTTTTTGACGTTTCACCCTTGGTACATCTACAATTTCAGGCTACGCTCGTCCTTCCACCACGACCACCGCTGCTCCAGTCTACGGCGGATATGGTCGTCCTTCGACTCCCGCTCAGGATGTCCCAAGCACCACCACCAGACGTAACTTGGAGCGTCGGAATCGATAACTTCAAGATTAACTTTATTAGGCTACACTCGCCCAACGACCACGACCGAAGCTCCAGTCTACGGTGGATACAACCAGCCGTCGACTCCCTCTCAGGATGTCCCAAGCACCACCACCAGACGTAATTTGGAGCTTGGTACATTTTTAGAAAAGTCATTTTAGGCTACACTCCCCCAACGACCACGACTGGAGCTCCAGTCTACAGAGGCTTCGATGACGTCACCACGACGACTGTCCGCTCCCACTACAGACCTCAGGTTCCGGCCCGTGACGTCACTTTCGAATCGCTGCCGGCTCAACGCTACGGACAGCAAACGACTGCCGCCCCGCAGACGACCACCTTCCGCTACGTCCTGAACGAGGCCGCCGCTGCCGCCTACTGGGCCACCGCCTTCCATCCCAAGTCGAGCACTGCCGCTCCGACCACCACCACGACGGCTGCTCCAGCTTCTGACGCTCCTCAGGTACTGACAAAACTGGGTTAGGACACTAATTTGAGCTTTAGAAATTCTTGTGAATAAGAGGTCATAAAACACGGCTAAGCTTCTTGAGCTCCTCGAGTCTAAAAGAAATACTGTTAAGACACAAAGTTGAGCGTCGAGCTTTGAAATTTTGAAACACTTGAACTTTTTGATGCTATAATTAGATGGTAGATCATGCTTCTAAGCGGGTTAGCAGAGGTTTCTGATGTGCGTCAGATACTCCAGAGAACTGTAGACAGTGGCTCAGGAAAGATAGTCAGAATGAGCTAAAGTCCAATTTTACGAAAGACTCCTTTCAGCTGAAACTTTTAGAAAGGACTTTACTGGCCTAATCTATTTTTGGCGTTGAGTTCAGACTGAAAGAAGCTTTGAAGCTGAATCTTCCAGAAAATTCTTAAAAATCTAAATTTCAGTACAACGGCTACTTCTCCGGCATCAAGGAGGCCGCTCAACAGCTCGAGCACGACCTGGAGAGCACCGTCGTTGGGTAAAATAATCTTTCTTTCGCCCCGATTTCAAATCAATATTTTAAAGTGGCTACGACGTTCCGGCTTCGGACTTCCCCGTTGTCGACGTTACCACGACAACGACTGCCGCCCCACAAACTGGTTATTGAAGAGGAAGAAAATTATTATAAAAAAAGAAGAATCAACTCGGGATTAACGCACACTCTCACTAACTGCTTGTAATTAGACCAATATAATATATTATATATTGCCAGCTTGCAAAATAAACATTTTCATGAAAACTTTGTTTTTTTGTCTTTTCAATCGATTTTCCATTTCGAAGCAAGCTTAGTATTCACTTTAGAAGATGTGATACTTCTTTAGTGAGAGTTAAACTTGCTAGTTTTACGTGCTCATTTGCCTTATTACACTGAAGAAACTTGATATCTTCAAAAGTGTGGTATAGCTCTGATATAACTTTCTGATTCGGCCTTCTTCTTATTTATATTTTTTTAGCTCTCTTAAATCAAAAAAATCTTGAAAAAGCTTGTTCTTCTCTAGAAGAGAAATCTTGAAAAAAAGTCACATTCGAAACCACTCCGAGGGCCACTTGGCTTATTCGTTAGAGCGCATCAGGTTCGGCGGCATTTTAGATTTTTCTTTTTCTCTTTTTCACATCGCCTCCTTTTCTCTTTTTTTTTTAACTTTTTAAGATAGTATACACAAATTTTTAACATGTTCAATGACCTTTTATTTTAACTTTATCAAAATACGGAAAAATTGCTGTTTCGGAGCGATCAAGTTTAACTTGCAAGGGAACGAAACATTTTTGAAATATGTTGCTTTTTTTCTGTTGGATTTCATCGCTTTCGATTGAGAAATTAAAATGCATCATCATTTCTCAATCGAAAATCTTTGTCCAGTTTGGTTAATTCGAAGGAATGGAAGTTTGAGCTTGAAGCTTCGCATGAAAAGACCAGCTAAAAATTTGTTTCACCCTTCAAAATATTCTTTTTAATTTTTTTCTTCTTGCTTTTTATTCCTGGAATATATTTTTCGAAAACATACAACACTATTAAAATATATGCGTAATTTACGTCTCTAATATCGTACTGCGAACGTGATTTTTTAGATTTTAAGCCAATAGTTTTTCCATTTCAGAAGCCGATGGCTTCCTCAAATCATCCAGTGGACAATGTCCTCTATTTAGCGGACTCTTACAAGGTTCCCTTTTTTAAAAAGTTTCGTAAAAAGTTATTAATCCAGGTCACACACCATAAACAATATCCCGCCGGTACGACGTCAGTTTATTCGTATTTCGAAAGCCGAGGTGGCAAATTCAATGAGGTTCTTGAAAATAAAAAAAAAAGAAAACAGTTTGGAAATTTTCAGACGGTTTTCTTCGGTCTACAATATATCCTGAAAAAATGGATGGTCGGGAGCGTTGTAACGAAGGAAATGGTTGAAGAAGCCAAGGAATTCTACCACCACCATTTTAGGAACCCTAGATTTTTCAATGAGGATGGCTGGAATTATATTGTTGAGGTTAATAATGGAGAGAAAAGAAAAAAATTCCTATTTTTTTGAGTTTCTCCTTCAGAAACAAGCTTTCAAAAAAGCTCAAAAAGGCTTTCTACTTAGAAGGAATTTTTTGGAGCACTCAAAGAATTTTTCAAAATACTAAAGCTCAAAAACTTGCGGAATAAAGTGACTGAAAAATTGATATACGAGAAAAAAGGTCAATTTTCGAACTTTTCCAAAGTAATTTTTAACCTTTTCCTTATTTGATCGCGGACTTTCAGAAACACAACGGTCATCTACCTTTGAGAATAAAAGCCGTGCCAGAAGGAACCGTCGTTCCTGTCAAAAATGTCCTTTTCACAGTCGAAAATACGGACCCCGCAGTGCCTTGGCTCACCAATTGGTTTGAGGTTATACTTGGTTTTTTTTTTTGAAGGATATTGATCTTTTTAGACACTTCTGGTTCAAGTTTGGTATCCAATGACAGTTTGCACGTTCTCCAGAATGCAGAAAATTATGATTGGAAGGTGGGTGAAGGGAAAATCAGAAGGAAATATTTTCGCGTTGGAATTTTTTTTATGATGCCGTGAAATTCAAAATGGCCGTCAGAGAGTGAAAAGATAACTGAATTTTGGAAAGTCCGAGATAATTTTGCATTTCGTGGAATGACTTCAAACACGACATAAGGAGCTGAAAGAAATAATTTGAAAGTTTTGACGGTTAAAAGAATGAAAATATAGTAAAAAAATCCGTCATTTTTTTTCAAAGTATTGATGATAAAATAACATAAAACAGTTGAAATAATTCAAAATAAACGGATTTTTTTCAGGTACCTTTACCGGACTTCCGGGTCAATCAACGGATTGTCATACAAGCTGCACGATTTCGGATATCGAGGATCGACTTCTGTTGAAGTTCATATCATTTTCTCGCTTATTCTTGTTTTTTTCTTGTCAAAGTTATCAGGAAAAAATGTCGAGTAATCTTCAAATAATCTGTAGTTCCGTGTTTTGAAGATTTTTTTGAGCTAAAAAACGGTTTTATTCCTTCAGAAATTTTTTTTTCTCTGCTCTCTTCTTTGAATATTACTCTATTTTCTCTTTCGATTTTAGTCAAGTGATCCGTTTTTTCATTCCTCAGCAAAGACATAGGCAAAGTCAAAAAAAGGGGAAAAGGCTACATAGAAATTTTTCTTTAAGGGTACCAAAGGAACTATTTTTGCTGTCTTTTTGAGCCATTTTATCAGCTCTTATGCTCAATTTTTACTGCCTCTCTCCTTTTTCCACCATTTTTTGAGTCTTTAAAATCCCAGAAAAAATGGAAGGCTCGATAAAGGGACTCTTTTTGCTGTATTTTTGCTACCTTTTTGTAGCCTTTTTGCTGCCTTTTTTGAGCCTCTCCCTTTTAGCGGCCATTATCCACCCTTCCGTCTTTGAACGAGTTTATTTGTTTCAGAAATTTTATCCCAGAATTTTTCTGTCTTCAACCAATTTTCCTCACCTTGTTCGCCAATTTCTCTCCAAATTCCAGAGTGCAGCCATTGGAGGAGCTGCCCACTTGGTGAACTTTGCCGGAACCGACACAATTGCCGCTCTTCAGCTCTGCAAAAAGTACTATGATAATCCTATGGCTGGACTTAGCGTTCCTGCCGCAGAGCACAGGTTTTTTTTCTGGATATTCGTGACAAAAAACATGCGAAATTCGTTTCGTGCAATCAATTATAGGCCATTCCACGCTAGCTTGTCACGTTTTTCTTGCCGCCAATAGGCCAGGTCAAATTTAACCAACTTTCGCTTCAAAACCTTTGTTTCTTGCCGTTATAAAAGCAGAAATTTGATCTAATTTGGTATACGATCTTTTTGGCGGGAAGAAAAGACGTGACAAGCTGACGCGGAATAGGCTATAATGCAACGTTTAAAGAAACACGCGTGAAATTCAAAATTTTCTCTGGCTCTCCAAAATTTTTTTATTTTTTTCACTGCCTGACGGTCATTTTGAATTTTTTAGAGTTACTTTGAACATAGTCCTAAATTCGTTAGGAAAAAGTTAAAGAAATTTTTTTCATTTTGAAAAATTTTCAAAGGATCCCCAGCATTAAAGTTTCATGCAGCAAATCCCACTTTTTCGTTTTTCGGATTTACTTTTTTTCATTTTCTTCTCGTTGAAAAATAAATAAAATCTGAAATTCTCTGAAGATTCTCAATCATAAATCGCAACTAAAATTAAGCGAATTCGTTTTTTTCTCACAAAATGCAACAGAAAACTTCCATTTTTGCTCAAAGAAGCTTCATTTCCATCTATTTTTCAACAGTCAACTGAAAAATACTCGTTTTCCCATCCCATCAGTAATAATTAACCTTTTTTCCAACCAAATTTCATTATTTTCATTGTTTTAGCACGATCTCGGCGTGGACAAAGACTGGAGAAGCTGACGCGTTCCGAAATATGATGGATCAGTTTCCTACAGGTTTTTTTAATATTTGTTCATTTCTTGCTGATTTTTAAAGGCACAAAAATCGTGTATGCATTAAAATAACACTGAAACTGTTGTTCGCCTCAAGATCTTCATAAAAGAATTTGTCTAAGCTCCTTTAAAAACCCAAGCAAAGAAACTGAAGAAAATTCTTGGAAAAAAAAAGATTTCAGGCATAGTTTCCGTGGTTTCCGACACCTACGACATTTACAATGCCGTTTCCAATATTTGGGGCGACGAGCTTCGTCAAATGGTTTTTTTCGTTTTTTGAAAAAAAAAATGAATTCGAACTTCAGGTGATGGACCGAGAAGAATATGGAAGCTTGGTGATTCGCCCGGATTCCGGAGATCCGGTAACCGTCGTTTTGAAGGTTTTCCATGAAAAGCTCCCAAAAAAGCGAAATTTCTAGATTTTGGAACTGTTATATGAGCGATATCCGTGTCTAACGAACTCTGAAGGATACCGAATGTTGCCGAATTATTTGAAGATTCTACAAGGCGACGGGATCAGCTATGAATCTCTGTTGACTATTTTGGCGGCCGTTGAGGTTCGGAGATGTTTTTTTAATGCTAAAAAAATTTTTTTCCGGTTTCAAATTTTTTTTAAACATACCACGATGAGTTTTCTTTTTGGTTGGGAATATGAAAAAAAGAAACATGGAAAGAATAAAATAAATAAAAAAATATTTTTCAAAGAGAAAAATCGTCGTAATCTTATAGTCTGTGTTCCACGACTTGAAATTTCACGTAACGACATTCCGCTGCGTGCGTTCGCGAAGCGTCTTTCGAACCTAGGTCACGCTTTCAATTGATTTTTATTGCTGTGGGAGCAGATGAAAGTAGAGTGCCTTAAAAAATCAAGGTTCGCATAGGCGCACAGCGGCACAACGGAATGTCGTTCCGTGAAATTTCAAGTCGTGGCATACAGAATTCATCTCACTGGCAAAATGCAACGGATAATGGCCGCTAAAAGGGAGAGGCTCGAGAAAGGTTGCAAAAAGGCAGCAAAAAGAGTCCCTTTATCAAGCCTCCCATTTTTTCTGGGCATTTAAAGGCTCAAGAAATGGTGGAAAAAAGGAGAGAAAGCAAAAATGGTGCATAAGGGTTGAGAAAATGGAGCAAAAAGGCAGCAAAAAAGGAGCCTTTGTCACTCTAAAAGAAACATTTTTATTGAGCCTTTTCCATCCTTTTTGACTCAGCCCGAATAGGTACCCGAAAATATGAGCTCATTTATCTTGTGTTTATTTTGAAGTTTGGTTTTTTTTTTCATCCGATTCCATTATGCTTCTAGCTCAAAAATACATAGAAGAAAGAAAAAATTAAGGTTCTATTGCAGTTATACTTTCTCCTACGTTCTGCGCCTTCAAGGAATATATTAATTTTTTAAAATACACTACGAAGCTATATCTTTCTCAGGAAGCCGGCTGGTCAACTGACAACTTGGTCTTCGGCTCGGGCGGAGCTTTGCTTCAAAAATTGGACCGCGACACACAGAAATGCGTCTTCAAGTGTAGCAGCGTCACTGTTAATGGAGAAGCGGTTTGAAAAAATTGAAAAGTCAAATTTAACCAGTACTCTTTAAGAGAGACGTCTGGAAAGAGCCTCTGACGGATTCTGGCAAAACGTCGAAAAAAGGGCGCTTGACGCTGGAAAGAGACGAAGCGGGACAGTTAGTAACGATCGAGGAAGGTCGGGGGGATCCGGAAAAGGTATGGAAAAATGAAAGTTTAAGGTTTATAGGTATTTAGGAAGAGTAATCTTGGAATTTTCACATCTATCTTACAGTCAAAGTATAGAAGCTTTGCATAATAGCCAGATTCTTGAGATTTCTTAAAGGCATAGGGGCAGTAAAAAATGGGGTTTCAGGTGAAAGCAGTATATTATATAGTTTTTCTTTGCGAATCGAATGGTGTACTCAAAAAAATTTAAGATGTGACAACTTTAGAAGAAAAACGCGATTTTACTTTCACGCTTTTATTTTTGAAAAAAGCTTTGGATCGGTATGCAGACAACTGTTTACAGTAGTCGTGCACGCGATGTTGCGGACGTCTCATTAGACTCGCATTTTGTGAGAAATAACCGGATATCTGCTTCAAATTAAAGGTTTCTTCTCTGAAAAACATTTAGTCAAACAAAAAACACACATTGATAATAAAAGAAAAACACAAAATATCGCTATCCCAATCGAAACCTGTGTAAAATCATCATTTTTCACCAAAGAAGCATTTTTGCGATCAAAGTTTGCAAATTATACATGAATAGAAAGTTTTTGTGACGAAAAGAACTTTGATGACAACAGAAAAAATTGAAATTTGAAAGAAACGAAGAAAAAAGCGAAAATCCGGAAGATGGCGAAGCCTGTTGTCCATAGAGCAACTTTACTGCAAAGCGCCCTTTTCGCGGGAACTCAAGCTTTCCTTTCTCCGATTTTGAATTATTTTTTCTTCAAAACTAGGAAGTTCGGTACGTTCCCAAGTTTACCGTTCGATTCGCAATGAAAAGCTCTACAAAGTACTGCTTTGAACTGAAACACCGTTTTTTACTGCCCCTATGCCTTTAAGATTTACAGACTTTTACGGACTAAAGTCATTTTTGAGCTTGGAAAAAGTTTTAAAATTGGTGATTTCTAACGAGTTTCTTAACTTCCTTGCAAAGATTGATTAGCATCTTTTTGAAAAAAATAATTTTTCAAATTTTGATGCCATTAGTTTAATCAATGCCTGGCTTTGAAACCATTCAAAAAAACTTCTTTTTCGAAATAAAGTTGTCTTTTTAAAAACAGAAATAACTTGAATTTAACAAGAAAAAAGCTTTCTTTGAAATTTCTTGAAAACGTACTGAATAACACTAGGGCGAAATAAAAAAAAAATTACATTGAAAAAAACTTTTTAAGAGAGGAAATTTGTCATTTTCTTGGAAATACTCAATTTATAACAATTCCAGGACCTTCTGGTACCAGTTTTCGAAAACGGCCGCCTGTTAGTCGACTACACCTTGAAAGAGATCAGAACACTTGCCGGAGCTGATTTGTTCCCTAAGAAAAATCCCAAACGTTCTTAGACTTTTACTCGATTTTATGTACATCGTTCCCCATTCAAATTTGACATATTCTCTATTTTTATAATATTAATAATCTCAATTTTATCTACCGCAACTCTTTGAATCATTCTTCCTGAGATTCACTTATTGTTACTCACAATAATCTCCATTTTTAGGTAATGCACATTCTTGTACCTTTTTTTGTACTTTCACAAAGTTCTTGCTTAATATTTTGACGGGTTCAACCGATTCCTCAACTTTCTAGTTCTAATAAAGTAGTTTTTTTCGAAACTTTAAGCTCAAAAAGTTCGCATTTCTCAATATTTCTAAATTTAAAAAAATATCCTAAGATTTTTTTGAGGTGAAATATGCTGAAAAGACTCTCAACTAGGATCTTTATTTTACGAACGTTTGCTTCTCCCAAAGAGCAGCTGAAAGGCTATCAGTTCCCGGAAGTTCGCAAGGAGGACTGTGAGCAGGTGAATTTGAGCTCCAGGTGCTCAAGAAATTCCCTTAAGAGATGACTTTAGAGGCTGAAAATGATTTTTGAGTACATTTCGAACATAACTAATGCAATATTTCTACAGAAATACATTTCTGGCTGGGGTCCAGGCGGCCAAAAAGTTAACACAGCTCAAAATGCGGTTCAACTCACGCATTTACCTACGGGAATCGTTCTCAAGGTTTGTGATTTAGAGCAAACTCCATTCAACTGTGTGCAAAAAAAAAATTTTAGTGGCCACTGTATGGCTGAATCACCGCAGGCCTGAGTCATCAAAAAAAGGGTCCTGACACGATGAAAAAAAAAGACAGTAACTGGTAGGTGGAGAGCGCAGACAGGCCACGCCCTTTTACGTCTCACGTTAGCCGTGAATAAACTATAGTGGTAGGGGAGAACGGAAAAAATAATAATGGGCCTACGTATAGTTTGCAGGTCTCAAAGCGAAAAGTTTAAAAACAGCTGACCATACGGTAGCTACTAATTTTCTTTTGCGTACAAGTCCCGCGGAACTGACTAAATTTTGCTTTTGACTGAGATTACTAGAAATATTTTTGAGAAGGAAAAACTCTTCTAGTTCATTGACTACTGCCTTTAGACAAAATCAGGGAAATAGTGAGCAAAAAGAGGAGGTTTAGACGAAAGTGGACAAACTGGAAACATTTCTAGTGGCCCCTATAGTAGTTTTTCAGCCAATATTTCTTTTTCCGTTCTCTTTTACTGCTATAGTCGATTCACGGCTAACTTGAGACGTAAAAAGGCATGTCCTGTCTGCGCTCTCAACCCACCAGTTAGAAAAAAAAACGTGACAAGATTCTAGCTTTTTCTGACCTTTTCTTCTCTAAAACTCACCCCTTACAGGTCCACGAGTCTCGTCTCCTCCCCAAAAACATTGACATCGCTTTTGAAAGGATGAAATTCGCACTGGATCGCCATTTCAACGGCGAAAACTGCTACGAGAAGCAGTTGGAACGGTTACAAAGGACTAAAGAGGACAAGGCGAAGAGAAAAAGAGAAAAAGCGAGGAAAGCCAAGGAGGAACTAAAAGAAGACGTTGAGAAATCGGATAATTTGTAAATAAAGTGTTTCTTGACAAAAAATATGAAAAATTTCATGCGATTCGGAGAAAATGGGCAAACTTATTAAGGAACGGTCTGGAATTTAATTCGGTCCTTGTAATGTTACTAGGTGGACTAGGGGCAGTTTTTCAAATTTGTTCTGATTCTGTTTTTTGAAATCATTGACAGATCGGATGATCCCTAATCGATGAAAAAAAAATCGAATTTTTCTAGTGAGCCCTTTTTGATACTAGATGAGGCTGGCATAAACGATCACACAAAAAAAAATTTTTATTTTTAAAGTTAGAGCTTGTCTGAACTGAATGGAATTGCTCTTTTCCCAACTTTGAGCTTCTGTAAATCTTCTCACAGACCTCAGAAACATTATTAGTATAAATATTCGCATTTAAACTGAATCTAATGGACCTGGTCCTATCAAAAATCACTGTGAGCTGAGACGCTTCCCAAGTAAAAAAAAAGAACCAAAAAATCTCTAAAATCAGAAATTTTGTGAAATGAACTGTTTCAAGCAAGAATATATTCAATTCCATGCAATTTTCACAATAAACGAAATAAAATCTTGGAAAAATCATCATAATCATCTTTTTTCAAGCAAAACTTCTCATGCAATATTTGAAAAAAATATATTTACACTTGGGGAGAGCAAAGCAAGTCTCCTGCTATTTCAATGTAAAAATTACAATTTCGAGGGGCTCGTCTGTGCAGAAATGATCAAGAGTTGCTTTTTCTGGCGACTTTCCATCGATTTTCTCAGGGCTTCTTGGAATCGTTCCAAGGGGACGTGGTCCATGGGAGTCGCTGTCAATTTTCCGGCCACTGCCAGTTCCTAGAATATTTTTGGAAATTTTTTTTCAATCCTTGATAAGGGCATTTACCCTTCCGACAACAAACTACTTGCGCACAGCAGCATTCTTTAGCCTAGGGTATAGTAAAACCGCTAAAAGTCTGGCGCAGCATTAAATTAGATATCTACCTCTCAACATCTTAAAAGGGAACCGCTAGGTGAAGTTACTTCGCTTAAAGTGTACCTGGATTTCCCTTAAACAAAGCTCCAGCTTCTCTTCATTTTCCGGCTGTCGCATCCACATTCCCACGGCGACGCCACGAACTCGTACGTCGTTGAACACCAACGCCGACGTGGAGAACTCGTGGGGCTTTTTCGACATCCCGCCTTAATTTTGTCCCAATCCTTTCTATTCACAACAGTTTACTACGAATTTTGGAAAGTTAGACTAGTTTAAAGATATTATCAAGATTTTCCTCATCAAATATTATTTCAAGGAAAACTTCTGACTTCTAATTTTGGGCAACCAAAAAAGCAAAAAAGGACTTGGCCAAACTCGCTGCAGGTCTTTTAATTTTCAAGAATGGAACTTTCAATTTTGCAGGGTAACTGGTCTGAAAAGTGATTTGGAAATTTCGAATCTTGAAAGTCCTCGGACTCTGTTAACAACGCAAATCGGTTGAGTGTGCCGCTAAAGTGACTACTTGAAAGCTCCGAAACGTCCGGTTCGCGTTACCGAAGTGCAAGTTATTTTAGAAGACCCATCAAGCTCCGCCCTTAATGCCGCTATAAGCCAATTATTGAACGAGCTCCAGAGAGGGGTTTAGAATGACGTCATTGTGCTTGGAATTTAAAACAATATGATCAGACTTCAGCGAAAAAGATGAACTTCGCTCTGGACTGCCCAATTTTTCGGTCAAACTTTGGAGAACTTCAAAATCTCGACTCTGAATAACAGATCCTGCCTCATAAAAATAACAATCTCTTAATATTTTTTTTTATTAAACGATTATTTTTCCACTTTTCTTGTACATCATATACTGATTTTGCCTGTGAATGATATCTCACTTTCCCAAGCTCACCATAAGTGACACTGGTCCCGCCCTTTTCCAAAACCGCCGCGATACCCAAAGAACTCCTGCCGCCAACGCCATTCATTGCGAGTTTTGGCGGAGAAGAGAGCGTTTTGACAAACTTGAAATAGATAATTTTCCACGATTTTCTTGCCAAAACTACCTTGCGGCCTTCCTTGGCAAACTCCTCTTCGGTGAAAATGTGATCAGCGCCAAGTTTCCACAGCTCCGTCTTCAAAGATTCGATGGCGGGACGATCTCGTACGATATTTATCGATTTGTAGCCGAACGCTGGAAAAATTATAAGGTTTAAAAAAAATTGATTTGAAAGATTCTTACTTCGCAAATTCAATAGCTATTCAAAAAAAAGGCGAGCTTCTAAAAAGTTTTCAACTTTTTCAAGCAAAAAAATTTTTTTCAACAAACTTCAAGAAAAAAAGAAATATTACAAAATTTGCAAAAAAAGGACAGTTTATTTTTTTCCAATTTATTTTTTTCGAATCTGACGTGAGAAAAATTTTTATAAACTAAAAAGAGAATATGAAGAAGGTGAAGGATGATTTTAACGAGGAAGATAGGTAAATTTCGAGGGATGAAAAGGAAATAGGATCCAGCCGACGTATGATCCAGCCCCGTAGATTTTTTTGGTAGAACTAGTAGTTGAACTACCCAAAAAGTCCTGAGCAAGTTGAAGCTTTTCTGATCAAATTTCCATTAGAACCAAAACTTCTTGCTTGAACAGATTTTTAAAAACCGAAAAAAAAGCCAAAGGTTTTCATGCACCTTTTCTCAATTTTTAACTTATTTTCAAACCACCTATACCTTTACACAGCTCAATAACCGATCTACCAACACCAGAATTGGCCGAGTTCTGGATAATATAGTCGCCGGGCGACAAATCGATGAAATCTTTGAGCATGACCCAAGCCGTTGGGGGGTTCACCATCAATGTCGCTGCCATCGGCTTCAAAACATTCAAATTTTGAGTTTCTTCTGTAGGTCCCACCACTGAGATGCGGTTATCGATTTTGAGGAGATCTTCTTCATCAACGATTCCGTATTCGGTCCAAAAAGGGGTATTCATAGTGAAAAGTGTGACATGGTCTCCTTTTGAGAAAGCTGACCCAGGAGAGCACTGAAAAGATTTTTTCATTTTTTTGAAGGATGGTGAAAAAAATCTTTTCCTGAAGTTCATTCTAATAATTTAAGTTCAGGAACCCAAATTCAAATTTTCATGCTCGAAAAAAAAAACTCAAGAAAGAGAACCTATCTCCGAGAAAAAAACTGGACAGTAAATTTACAACTTATTTTTGAAGCTATCAATTTTATTTTTTTCAGGACACCGAATTTCTTCACTTCATATAACCTTAGATCTTATAGGATTTTTAATTCTATCAACAAAAAAACCTAGTGAAATGGAGATTTAATCAAGATTATCCATAAAAAAGGATCCTCCATTAAAAAAATGTTTCATTTTATATTCAGAGCTTTCTTCGGAAATCAAGGATTTTTTGAGCCATTTTTCCTTGAAGTTTAAAAATCAACCCAAATATTGTCCAGCCTCCTCAAAAACCTTGAAAATTATCCCAAAATCGTCAAAAAATCTCCCAAATTCACCTTGACGACTCTTCCCACCCCTTCGCTGCCGCCAATGACTGGCGGCGTCGGTCGATAAACATAAACTCCTTGAATACTAAAAACATGAATGAAACGTGTTTTTTTTAATTCTCAACTGGACCTATTGATGTCAAGTGGGTTTATTGGCGAAGCGAGCCATTGGACCAAAACTTGGCCTTTTTTTGGTTCTGATTCGACGTCAACAGTGGCTAATTCGAGGACCTAAAAGTAATGAAGTAAATTTAGTTCTTCAACTTGAAAAACTAAATATTTAGTCAGGAACTTATTTTTTTTCCATCATTCTAGTCTTACAGAGAGAGTTTTTTCTTCTTCAGAACCTGCTTGAATTTTTGGTCAGACTTTTTTTTTATAATATTATTTATTTATAGACTTGACTAGAATGATTTGAAGGCCTCTTGATTTCAAAAAAAGATCGAAATTTCCTGACTTTTTTTCTCGCAGTAAAATTATGACGCTACGAAGCTCAAAAAGTACTCAGATTATGAAAATAAAGCTTCAAAGCGACACATTTCAGAAAATTATATTTATTCTTGAGCATCCTTAAAAAATTCAATGAAAATACTTCTCAGCTCAAAACATTACACTAATTCATGAAAATACGGTTCATTTATAAAACAAAAAAAAAAGCTTGCAACTGCTTTTTTTAAGAATCACTCATTAAAAATCACTAAAATAACCTTCTCGGGCTCACCAAAGCTCCGGTAAAGCAATGTTCGCGACTTGAGAACCTCGCTCATCACTTTTCTGGACATGTAAAATGAAAATTGGTAAATAACAACTTGAAAATTGAACAGGGAAGGTCAAAAAGTGGTGAGCGAAGAAAACAAAATCGCCGACTTGATAAGCGGGACGTTGTAGTTTCAACGTCGCTACGGTGTAGCCAGTACTCGAGAAGTCAAAAATGTTGCAGAAGAGTTTGGGATGATTTTTTGAGTGGATTAGGTGAAATGAGTGCATAATGTTCATTAAGTGTACTTTTAGCGAATCCTGAGAAGGTTTTGGGAAGGTGAATGGAAGCTAGAAGATTTTGTGAAGGCCTTTGGAAGGTGTTTATAAGGTACTGGAAGGTGCTTGGAAGAACAAACATTAAAAATGCGCTCCAGACGCCTTCCAGCAGGCTTCTGGAAGAACTTCAAATTAGGCCAAAAAAAATTCCAACTAAACTCTTCAAAATTACGACCCATTCTTCATCAGAATCATTCCTCAATAAAACCGATCCAACGAACAGTGACATCACAAGGCTAACATTAGCCGCCATTTTTCCCGTTTATCTATCACCTATCACCCCGGAGAATCGAAGAGGAGAACAAAGCCTGACCCACAAAACGGCTTTTCGCTCAGTCGGCTTGCCGATGAAGCCGCGGCCGCTTCTCCTCCTGCTTTTGCTGGCCATCGGATGTCACTCGAGCAACGATGACCTCATGGCGAGGGACGAAGAAGCCGTCGATGACGACGATGTCGACGACGAGAGCAAGAAGGAGAACATCTACGAGTTCCTCTACAAGCGAATGAAGCAGGACGTTATTCCGAAGAAGCGGCTGGCGCCTCAGATCTACACCATTCCCGGTTCATTTTTATGGCATCCTTTCTCTATTTTAAATCAATGAAACTGCCTTCAAAAACTTTATTAAACTTTACTTGAAAAGGCTAAAATGTATTAGGGGTGTGAAAATAGGCATTTATCCCATTTTAAAGTAACTTCTTTCTCTATTTTCCAGCAATAAAACTAATATTTCAGGACCCCAAGAACCGCTTCCCGGAAGGTCTCACATGGGAGATTATTGGCCGGTTTTCCCATTTCAAAACCAATATTCCGGCGGTGTCGACTTGGATCCTTCTATTTCTCGAGTATTCTACAATTTTCTTTTTAAAACTATCCCACCGTTTGTTAATCGCTCAAGAGTACATGCTTTCCGAAGCGAAACCAAAAATCCATGATAGATGTCCCACCAAACCAACAGTTATGAAGAACATCTCCAACATTTTCCGACTCTTCCAAAACTTTTATTTTCACTCCATCTGTTTGAAACTATATTTTTCAGCACATCGGAGGTGACATGAACATCGCCATCCCATCCTGGGGCATTTTGGACATCTACGGACGCTTCTTCAACAGGTTTTTCATGGAATATAAACTTTAATTCACTATGATATATTCAGAATCGCTGACACGACGACGAAATTCGGTTACATGAACCATCCGGTCAACATGATGGACTTGGAGCCGGAGGATTTCGTCAAGTTAATGAGCGACCCATCGATGCACTACAACCGAAGTCAGGCTTGATTTTCGAAGTCTTTCAGAGTACTATGAAGAAATCTGTGTACAAACGCATACTTTGAGACAACTTTTAAGCCCAATTATTGGGGGAAAATGATCCTAAAGTCAGTCAAAATGAAGAGGAACCACTCAAGTACACTGATAGAACTGGTACTGACAAGAGAGGTCATTTCACATTTTGGTTTGGAATCGTCTGAAAACATCCTCAAACACTCTTTTAAGATCTAGATTAGGATACCTCATAGTTTCTACCTGCACAAGATTTTAGTTTTTGAGATATGAATCATCAAAATAACTATATACTGATCCAAGACTTGTTCTAACTTTCGAAAAAAAATAACTGAAAAGGTAAACGTTTATACAGGTAGCAGGTTTGAGGAATCTCAATCTAGAGCTTCGGGGAATGTCTGAGCAAACTTTCAGGAAATTTCAAACCGTAGTAAAATGGCCTCCCTTGGGAGTGAGTATGATGAACCAAGTTACGATTCTCGACTTCAATAAAATATTTTTGTTTATAGAATTCTTCATTCAGCAGCTCTAAAGGCCCATCTACCTGATTTCAGACGCGCACCCGCGCCTTCCACTCGGCAGACTTGCCAAAAACTACGTTCCTCTCAACTGCAAGCCTCCTCTGTGTAATCCCTACCAACATACGTTCGGCGTCGGCATCGAGCACGACTTCGGAGGTTCCGACGGAGTTGAAGGCGACATCGACGTGCCCTTGCCGATCTCCAAAGGCGTCGCCTATCGTTTCCCGTTCGCCGGAAAAGTCTACTATCGTCAGTTTTTTTTTTCAAACTACTTTCGGCCAAACATCAGAATCTATGGAAATCCTATCCTGATTCAAAGTGTCTGACAGTCTAAACCGCTATTGTACACCACACTATTGATTATAAGAACTATGCCCATTCCAACCATTGCAGTTTTTATTTTTAATTTAAACTGAAATACTCCAAACTCAGACTTCGACAACATCACCGTCACCTACGGTCAGAACCTGGCCCCAATCGATCCGATTTCAAGTCTGTTCGATTATCAAAAGACACGGGACCCAGCTCTACGAATTCCTCGTCAACGCCGCAGTGTTCCGGTGAATTTTGATATATTATGTCTTTGAATAAAACTCTCATTGATTCATTTTGAACTAAAACCTTATTTCTGCCCTGCCCTTTAAAGAAAAGAAATTGAAAAGATAAATCCGAAAACTCTTCAAGGAAGTCTTGAACTTGAATGTTAGTATTGATGTACTTGTATTATGAATGATTCAAACTTTAATTTTCCAGGAATACGCCATGTTCGACAAAATGCCCCAAAGAAGGTTCCGAAAGATCAAGATCAAGATTCCCATTCTTGTGGTATTTCTCTTCAAAATGTCTACCTCCTCAAGGAACTTTTCAGGTGGACCATGTCGAAATTGCACCAAATCCGATCCCAAGAAGACTTTCCACTGTGCCCAACTATTATCTACCCGGCGCTTCAACGATACTTCCATCTCAGAGGAGAATCAGAAGATCTGTCCCACTAATTTACCAACCAGGACTATCTTTACCATATGTGCCTCGGCTAAGATACAAAAGATCCATTTCTTCCCGACAAATTTATAAACATAAGAAGAAGATCCGACAATATGTCATGAGCTTTGATTATCATTAGGGGTACTTTTTAACGTTTTTTTTTTGTTATAATTACTTCAATTGTTCACTAATAATCATAATATTAATAAAGTCCGAATAAACTTGTTTTTTGTTGTAGTTCATTTGCATTGAGGAAAGATACATGGAAAGGTGAATTTAAAAAAAAATCATTACAGCTTTCGCTCTAAATACTTCTATTCAATAAGTTCAAAAACGACTGGTTTAGAAATTATTCATTTTTGAAATCCCAATGTATTTGATCATGATTAATGCACGAATGGTTTAGGAAGGTTGGAAAACTTAGGAGAAAACACCAATTTTCTAAAATTTACCTCTATTGTTTTTTCACCCGAAGCTCATTTCCTCCATTCAATAACCAATTCAAGTGTTCAATAACAACTTTAATAATAAATATATCGATTTCAACTTCAACTTGTACATGTACAAGTCAAAACGGACGCCCCGCCAACTTCCGGGGTCCTCACAATGGGCCTCGAAAGTGCTTGAAAATCGGTTGAGAGGCGCCCAAAATTTGTTCATCCAAACGGACCGACACCCAGTCAGATTTCATTCATTCCGACCATGATCTACAATGAAATTCTTGTTCTTTTTTTCTTCTTTTTTTTATTTCAGGTAAACGTTTTTTAGAAAGTTTTAAATCTACCAGGAAAAAAAGTGGCAAAAATAATTCTTCTAATTTTTTTTTGATTAAAAAATCCATTAAATGAAGGAATTTTGGAAACCCAGTAAAAAGATAAGAAAAAAACTCTGGTCTTCTACTCTCAAAAAAATTCTCAAAAATCCAAAAAAATTACTTCCATTAGTCTTTATACGCTGGAACAGATAATTTAATCTTTTTTTCAATATAAAAAAATTACTAGATACGAAGAAAAATTTAAAAAATCGAAGCCAGCTCGAAAAAAATTCCGGGAGAATCAGATGATTCTTATTGATAGAATTCCGAAGCAAAAAAATATAGATAAACATAAACGTTTAAATTTCATAAAGATCTGGAAAGTTTTAAAAAAACTTTTTTTCCAAGTTAAATCGATTTTTTTCTGAGTGTGAAGTTGAAGTGTATAAAAACTGAAAGAAAGACTTTTTCTTATTTTAATTCACTGTTTAGTTGGGTTTTTTTTTCTCCGAAATATGTAAGCAATTTTCGAAAAAAACACGCTTATCCTTCGAAAATCTCGGACAAAAATATTCGAGTTATATTTTCTAGCTTTTTTTTGAGGACGAGAACTCCAAAATCCTTGCTCAAAATCGGAAAACCACGCGTGTCCCTGATAAAATCCATTTTTTTTTCAGTCATTTCATCTTGCCGAATCGACGGTTCCCTGCACGGGACCTACAAGAAACAAAGTTCTTCGCAGATAATTGGAGCATCGGAAATTTCCCCAATCTTCGATGAAGTTTGACTTTTTCATTGGAAGAGTTCAAAGTTTAAAGCTCAAGAAGAAGATTTCAGACTCGAAACTTTTTTAAAACTTTGCAAAAATAGGCATTCTTCAGGAAGGAAGACCTTTTCATAGCCTTCCGTCGTTTTTTTTTTTTGAAATTCTTTTTTTTTTTTATAACTTCATCTTTTAAAATAAAGATCATAGCCCATTCCGGGTAATTCGTGTCACGATTTATGCTGTCCTTCGAGCTACAGTATCCTTGCCTTCAATGTTAACGGCCTCTGTCTGTGCATGCGCCTTTAATTTGATTTATCAACTTAGTTATATAAAAGGCGCATGTACAAGGACATGCAACGTGCATCGAAGGGGAGGGCTCTCTAGCTCGAAGAAAAATAAAAATCGTGAAAAGCTGGCTCGGAATGGGCTCTACTGACAAAAAAAGGCGAGGAAAAACTTTCCAAGGCTATTTTTTAATTTTTCTCTTCATTAGCCGTCTCTTGTCAAGTGATAAAGACAAAATTAAGGTTTCCATAACCCCGACATCGATCAGCGACTACGGGGATTGCTATCTCAAAGACGGTACTTCATACGTTTTGGGGAGAAAGTAAGAAAATTTCATTTTTCTTGAGAGATTCAAAATTGAAGACAAATGGGCCGACCGATATGCTTCCGATGCGTTACAGCCATTTTGAGATCACCAAATATACTCCATTTGGCTCATCAGTCAGGTAACTTACACAAAAAGTCTGAAAAGTGTTTCTAATGGCTATTTTTTCAATTTTAAAAGTTTCCAATCAAAATTTGACAGTTTCAAGGGGGGTGGGCGGTAGAAAACGCCGGTTATCAAAACTTTAAAAAAAATTACTCGTTTTTCTTCTCAGCTGTATCAAAAAGGGACTATATTTGGCATAAAATAATTCAATACCGTCTCAAGAAAAAGATATAACTTTTAAAAACTTGGAGAAAACCATAAAATTTTCATATTTCTGTGATTTTTTGACTTTTCAAAAATTTACACACTTCCGAGCAGTAGACATATCAAATAATTTGGCAATTTTGAGCAGAAAGAAACGTTCTAACTTTCCAGTTTTATCTGCAATTAAAAAAAAATAAATTGCAGAAGAAATCTGCCACGCAACTGAACAGGAAGCGAAAAGTTCATGTTTCGATCCATCGCTAGTATCTTTAAACGATGGAGTTTTACTTTTTCGTGAGTTTCTTCTATATTTTGACAAACTTGATTCATCCCGAAGATCTTCAACTAAAATTAAGCATCTATTTTAATCAGAAAAAAATTTATTTTTTTGGTAAAAAGTATGAATTTCAACAGGATCAACTAACGTGGAGCCTTCAAGTTGCGGTGGAATCGACGGTCGTTTCGCGGTTTCCTATACGATGCAAAGAACAAATTTAACTTGCGAAGACGGCCAGGGCACAACGGTAAGAAGACTCTAAAAAAAAATCCATATTCAAAAGTTTTCCAAGAAAGCGAAAAAAAAAACAAAACGAAACAGAAAGGCCAGAAAAAAATTATCGAAAGAAAGTTTTCAGATTTTAACATCAAAAAAACACTCTGGACCAAGTTTTTGATTCAATAATATCATATCATTGAACAAGTTTCGTAGAATAATTAATTTCGAACTTGATTGAAATTATCTAGGAAAGCAAAAACATGAATAAACTCCTAAAACTTGATAATTCAGGCCAATATTGTCGATAAAAATCTTTTCCATAGGTTCTAACTCTATCGAATATCTCTGGTCGCGCTCAAACGAGAAAAATTGGCAAAAAAAAAGAAAAAAAACTTTGGATCGATTGAAAAAAAGTTGCGCCGTTCCCGTTATCAGTAGCGCGCGTTTGCAATGAAATGACCCTCGCGCTAGTTGGAATTTAATTTTTTTTTACAGTCTTATAAAAACAAAAAATTAAACTGATGAAGATCTAGGTTCTTTAGGAAATTTAGGTAGACCTAAATTAACACTGGGAAAGGCTGCTCGCCTTGGGAAAATCATGACGCTCGTCAAGGTTTTTTTTTTCAAAAATCTCAAAAAAGTGTTCTGCCTTCTAAAAATTATAAAAAATCAGTATTTAACAAGCTTTGAATATTATTCTCTTCCACACGAATCATTTTTTGGATTTTTTCAGGCCGACAACTGTGACGTCACCTCTCGTTTGCTCGTCAAATTCCGCAACTGCAGTTTCCCCGACTTTGGTCCGGTCATTGTCCACTTGCCATTCTTCAAGAAGTGTGTTGTTCAGAAATGTCGTTGCGGTGCTTGGGATCGTGGGAGGAGCGCGGCGGCGGCGGCGTGCGCTACGTCATCATGCAGAACGAGGAGAACGAGGAGTACCGTTGCGGGGTCAGCAAACATTCACAAAAAATAAGTTATGAGCCATTTAGTGACCACTCAAGTGGTGTTAGCGTTCATTTAGAGATCACTGAAGATTCTATTAGAATCTGTGCTTAAAAATTGTTGAAAAGGTTCCTGAGAAAAGTTATTGAATTTTGAAGTCGGAAGAAGTTTCATGAGTCTGCGTGAAACGACTTGGAATTTCACCGAACGACATTCCGCTGTTCCACTGCGTGCGTTCGCGAAGCGTCTTTCGAATCTAGGTCACGCTTTCAATTGATTGTTATTGCTGTGGGAGCACATGAAAGTAGAGTACCTTGATAAAAGAAAAAAAAAATTGAAAGCGCGACCAAGGTTCGCAAAGGCGCGCAGCGGCACAGCGGAATGTCGTTTGGTGAAATTCAAAGTCGTGGTTCACAGGCTATAACAAACCGATTATTGTAGATAACTGAAAAGAATTTTCCTATACTCCTTTAGGTAGGGACCGCAGACGAATTTTCAAAAATTTTTTTTCAGCATCGAGCTTTGTATGGTTCGATAGCTGATTCGATTCAAAAACTCAGAACCGTTTAGTTTTTTTCAAAAAAAGATTGAGGATGAAAAAAAGTTATGACGGAAAATGTGGCGCGCCGCGCACCATTTTTTTAGTACTGAAATTTTTGGTATTATCCATTTTTTTGACATTTTTTTCTCGATTTTTCTTCTAGAACAAGTTTTGATACTGGTCTATTATGATGTAACAAATCATAATAGAGTGCTAAAATGATGCTAATCAGCTAGTTTGCCGAAAAAAAGTCGGTATTTTCCAGAAAACAAAAAAACTGCCGCTTGCGGGCATCGAACTCGCGACCTCAAAATGAAAAAAATCGCAGCGCACGCGCTGCGCTAAAGCTGTTAGGTCTAGCGATGGGAGCTTCCATCCGCCATACCCTTGAGCCGTTTGAATAGCACAGATTGCCTATTTCAAAAAAAGAAAAATCTTGAAGTAATTAAGATATTTTTTTATCAGAATATGTTTGCAAATCTTTACTCAAACTTTCCGTGAAAAATTCACTTTCGAAAAAAACTGTTTTTTTAGTGCTTTTTGGCCTCGTTTAAGGATCGCTGCCTTAAAAACGGCCCCGTAAATTTTTTTGGCAAAGACGAATTTCTTATTTTATTCTTTTTAATTGAAAGATTTTTTTACTAATAAATGTATATAATCGTTTGAAAAAAACCTGCGTTCGACCGCTTTCTGTGTGATAAACGCCGCTAAATTTTTTTCTCTAGTTTCAAGAGCATTTTTTTGTGTATCACACAACTTTTTTTCAAGCAAAGATGCTGTAGAGAAATATTTAAGTAAGCTCATGATCTAAATTTTGAAAAAAACAAAAAAACTCGATTATATTCGCTTATTAACGATATTTTTGAATTATGACTTTCGGCACTCCCTAAAAATTTTTTTGGCAAAGACGAATTTTTTTATTTTATTGTTTTAAAATTACCGTTACTTGAATCAAAATCATTATATAAAAAAAGAAAGAGTGCGTTCGATCTGAAAACACATAAAAAAGCAAAAAATGACAAAAATTTTTAGTTCCATTCACGTTTTTTTGTACGACATTCCGCGAGAACGCATCAAAAAAGCGTGAAATATTTTTTAAACGAAAGAGGAAGCTTTTCTGTACATATGTGTCAAATTTTATTAGCCAGTTCCACATATTTTACAACTACATCAAAAAGAAAGTTGAAAACCAAAAAAAAGCCACTTTTTCTATCGCGAAAAGGGGCGTGGCTTTGCGGTCCCTACCTTTAGGCATCCTAGCAAATTCCTGTAGAAGAAAAACTTGATAACTTTCCAGTTATTACTACGGGATGGCGCCACCGCGACAGTACACTTTGCCAACGATTCCTCCTGTTCAAAGTTGTCCGTGAGCAATTCGTTTGAGACTTACCGTTTCAGGCCAGGTCGACAAACTCAAAAATTAAAGAAAATCAAGAGTTTTACAGAATTCTCCGGAAAGCCCTTTTCACCGTGCCAGTTCCCAAAATGGATGCGTGGCGAGTTCGACACGTTGTCGGTGACCGCCAACGAGCTTCAGTACTTTCAAACGGGAGTTGGAGCAGTTCCGATCATTTCCTACTGTGTTCACGCTTTTGATGAACGAGTGATGGTCTATTCGGAGACTAAATGGTTAGCATTTTGGCTTCGAATTTCGAGATTAGACTAAAGAATCAATTTACTCTGTTGCCTGTGTTCCGTGTCTTTGAAGGAATCGGAATACTCTGCTGTCTTTTCCTCTGAAATTCTCTCATTTTTACGTGCTATTTTTCTGTTTCTATGGCCTCATCGGATGAGGTCATACTATTCAAATATTCACCTGAAAATGACTGACACCCCTATAGGGAACACTTCTACTTCAACCCTAAACAGAGCACTTCTTCTCACACAAGGGCTGCTTCCCCTTTACCCCCTATAAGGACCACTCCGGTGTGTTTTACGTGATATTTTTTCGTTTATATGGCCTCATCGGTAGAAGGTGACGCAGACAGGTCATCCTATTCAAAAATTCCCCTGAAAATGGCCTGCACCCCTATAGGGACCACTTCAACTTTACCCCTACATGGAGAGTTTTCCTGTTCCCTATAGGGCTCCTTTTTCCCTGGCCCCTATAACGACCACTCTGGTGTCCTTCGAAATTTTCTTAAAATTGCTTTAGTATTTTCTTCAGAAAACGTTTGATTGATTTGAGTCCAATTTATTTTCAAAAAAAACTTCAGCGGCGAGCCTTTGGGTTACCACTGTCTCTGGTTCAACGCCAGAAGTCAGAACCTCATCGAATTCAAGACGACGACGCCAAATGAATCATCAAACTCATCGACGTGCTTGTGAGTCTTTTTAAACAGGCTCCTGAATCTCAAAGTCCATTAAGAGAAGACGAAAAATGGCAAGAGTCGCCGTGGACGACGTCGGTGATCCGGAAAGCCGACGCCTATCCTTGCGGCATCTTTGGAAGCTTCTCGACGCCTTCTGAGTTGAGGACTACGGCTTCGGAATGCTACAACGTCACTTTCAAGTGCGACGAAGCTTCCAGAATGGAAATCTCGGCTTATGATTGTAGTTCGGGAACTGTTTATGACGGTTAGTTCTGTGTGTAGGTCAGAAGAGACGCCAGAGAAAGAAAGATACTCGAACTTCTCTGGCGTCTCTTCAGTTCAACGTTGATCTCTAATTTTTTTCTTTTTGAGCTTTCAAACCTCAAGCTCAATCCCAAAATTTCAGCCCGAGAATACAAATGCCTAGCTTCTTGGCGCGACGGCACCCATCTGTTCATTTTCACGGCTCGTGGCGATTCCCATTCGTGTTTTGTGAGTTGATTCTGGGTATCTTGGATTGAAAACTCGAACCAGATCACCCAATATCACAAGGGCCGTCTCTACTTGGCTTCCACCGGAATCCAATGCGATCGGGAGCACAATTTCAATGAGCACACTGATACAACCGTCGTCGTTGAAGAGAGCGGTAATTTTTCAGGAAATTCTTAGAATTTAAACTGAGAGGATAAAGAGCTTCTCAGATGCTTTCTGCTTTTTTGAGGGCGCATAGGTTAAGCCTGGTCTAAATTTATGAACAAAAGGCTGCTTTAATTCAAGTATATTTTTTTGAACTTCGTGTGATATTTAAAAAATGAGGCTCGAGTGGTTTCGTGTGGAAAAATGTGATATAGTCCGTTTTACGCGACTTGAAAGGGCGGGACTTCTCTGCACCCTCCTTATCTCTCAAAGGTTCTCTCATTTTCATGTGCTATTTCCATTTTTCTCTGACCTCGCTGGTGAGAAAACAGAGAGACGCAGCCCCGCGAACTCAATTAATTTTTTCGCAACCTAATTTTTTTTAAAGCCAACTATGTTCAGCCTCCTGCAACGCGAACAAGCCAACTACACTGAAACCGAAATCGCGAAAACCAACCAAAACGACGGCGATATCGCAGAAAATCGAAGTGGAGACAACGACAAGCACGACACAAGTTCCAACAATCGCCCCAGTGGAGTCTGACCTTTCCTGGATGTCCGAGACGACGTCCAGCTCCACCGGCCGAAAATTCCTCATATGCTGTTTATTTTTATTATATTTTGTTTATTGAAAAATCATTAAGTGAATAAAGTTGATGAAATAGAAACAGTGAGCAAAAAGGAGAGATTTAGACATTTTAGAGCAAGAACCGATTATCGACAAGTCCAACGCGAGAGAGATGATTCGTACTTAGTATTGAGAAAATCAGTTTCAAAATGGAGGAAGTCAGGAAAACCACGAAGAAGGCCAAGTGGATAGAGTCGGAAATCAGGAAAATGACACAAGTTAGAAGACATTCGAAGGAGAGCCACTTCCACTCGTTGCCGTAGACGAAGCATCGGGAGAACATCATTTCCGATGGGTCTCTGGAATAATTATTCAGATCTATCGGCTTCTATTCAGTGAAACCCGCCTATAGTCAATGTTTCCCGACTCGAAAGGGGAGGGAGGCGTGGCAAGGGGCGGAACGCGTAGCGTGTGCGTTCGCGGTCCTTGCCACGTGTTCAATTCAACCGCCATCTACTCTTTGAAAATCCCGTTTTTCGTTCTTTTCATTCCTTTTTCAATTATTTATCGATTATGTTCAGCATCAAAAAATAGTAGAAAACAATGAAAAAGAGCGGTTGCCGAGCTTTTTTAATAGTCGGCGGCGCTTGAATTGAACTCGTGCCAAGAACCGCGAACGCACACGCTACGCGTCCCGCCCCATGCCCCGCCTCCTTCGCCTTTCAAGTCGGGAAATAGTGACTATATAAGTCTCATTCATGAATAAAATTTCTTCGATAGTTAGCTATTTTATTCAAATAATCATGACTTTGAAGCTTGAACCAGTTTTTTTCTATCAAAGCAAAAAAATTATATCGTGAAGATTATTCTTTGATGAACTACCTTGTAATTCCTACGGACCAAGCCGAAATTTAGTAGAACTTTAAGATGATATTTTTCTGAAATATCAAACATTTTTATCCACAAGGTTTGGATCCTGGGCTACCTTAATTTGATCGTTTCTCTCAAAGAAAAATTTCAACATTTTTTCAGTATTTTTTCACTTAAAGAGTTTACTGACGTCTTCAAAGATCACGAGCTTTTCCTAAAACTTGAGTAGAACAATTTCTAACCCTAAAAATTATTAAATTATACTAGATTTTTAAACCAGTTCCTCTGATAATTCCACCAAGGTCATTTTATTATTTTTCTAAGAAACTTTTTTCTCTGAACGACTGCTCAAGGTCCTCGCTGATGTGCTCAAAGAAGCCTGGATCAGCAAATAAAAACCCCGAAAACAATTTTAAAAGGGACACATGACTCATTTTTCTTCGAAAAAACCCACCTCATGAAGTTCCCAGTGACTGAGGTATCGTTAAACTCCAAATCGAGGACCGCCTCAGCGACAGTTCGATCCCGAATCACATAGCCCAAGTCAGAGTTCGCGTGTTCGATAAAAGCCTTGAGGAATTCGTTCATCTCCCCATGAGCTTTCACTGTCGCGTGCATCTGAATAACTTCCTCGAAATCCAGTTTCTTGGCCCGAAAATTTCAAATTCATCAAATTGAACTAATCCTGAAAGTTTAGGCACTATTTCGAAGAGAAAAATGTATCTATCCGCTGGAAAACCTGAGTAAACCCAACTATTATATATCAAGGACATTGAAACCTTCCAAAAATACACCAAATTCACCACATAAATTGGAAAAAAAAGCTTATATTCTCCCTTTAGCGACTATCAACAACTCCTCCGATAAGCTAGTTTCAAAACTCCAAAAAAGAGGCGTGGCCAGCCAATCACAGACGAAGTACTCCTAAACGTATCATACCTTCGCGGTAACGGCGTCATGCCCCGTCACCGACGGTCCCAGTTGTGCATTAGCCATCTGTCGGATTTCGTCATATTTTTGCCGGAAAGCTTGCGGGAGGTTCACGATGTAAGTCTGGAGCTCAGAAGACGGCTCCAAGCCTCGAAAACCGCATAAACTGTCCTGAAAACCATTTTTTTTTGGTTTTCCGACTATTTCGTAAGTCATAATTAAAATAAAAAAGCGATTTGGAACACTCTAACCTATCTGCGTATCTTTTCCCTCACCGAAAAACTAGAACAAAATTTTTTTCGAAAACAACATTTTGAGAGATTCGAAAGCAACTTCGTCTCTTTTTTCATCTAAATAGATTTTTCATCATTTGATACACATTCGAAAACTTGCGAGAATCTAGAAAAAAACATCATTTAATGCTGTTTTTCCAACCAATAAACCCACAAAATTAGGCTCTCAACTTCGCGCCCCTGTTGCAAAAAACCATGCCGCTGTTGCAGTCAGCCACGGGGCTCAAAACCCAGCTCTGGTTTCTCTAATTACTTTGGTTCCTCAAACTTTCAAGTAACACATGTTTTTTTGAAAGGAACTTTAGCAGACTAGTTTTTGGTCTAATCACCCTTTCGCGCTGCAAGAAGTCGTTCATCTCGGCCATCCCAGCGTCGCCTTTCCCATGAACCGACCTTCCATGAATATAAAAGCCGTGAAGAGACTCTGTCAGTGACAAAACACTGAAAAATGCGGAAATTCATAAAAATCAATATTCTTCGAACCTAATATTCGAAACAGAGCAAAGATCGATGAAGTTGTGGAAAGGGTCGAGGATCACTCGTTCTATCAACAAGACCTGAAATGAGACATTTTTGTAAAACTATCATAGTCGATTCAGGATGTTTCTTGGGAAAAAAGTTTTCGCTTAAAGATATCCTTCAGCTCGCTGGCAATGCGCCTTTAAATTTTAACACGTTGCAGTGCCGCATTTTTTTATAAATTATTAAAAAAAGACAACTTTTCAAAGCATTCTCCATACATATAGAAAAATCGAAATACCTTGGTCCTGTTTTTAAAAAAAATAGCTTGAGAGTACTTGAAAGCACATAGGAACTTGGTAATTTTCTGAAAGCTCATGAAGAATCCGTCATTTTAGAAGACTTGGCTTTAAAGGCGCATGGATACCGTGCCAAAATATATCTTAACGCGAATTTCGGTTTTTTTTTCCACTCAAGCAGCCTTTGAAACTTCACAAAAGCCCTGACTCCACTAGTGTTATAAAGGGCGCAGGTTCTTCGTTTCGAGACCCTCATGCTCCTTTAAAAAACCCAGAAAATGTTATGAATGAACTATGAATCACCTGAATGATCCACTGAATGAAGGCCAACGAAAGGTACAAGAAAACCACAACCGCAAAACGGGTCAACAGCGTTGAATCGTAGAAATTATCGTCCAAATCTGAAAAATGACCTCAATTTTTTTCTTGTAAAGCAACATCACGTTTTGCGAGTTAACTCAAATAATTTTGAAATTAATGCTCTATTGACCCCTTAAGTGGCCTCTAGCCTTTACTGGTCTCATCTCATAGTACCACTTAGACTTCTAAAGAGGCCACTTGAGAGGACAATGAAGAAAGAACAGCGCGATTAATAGTGGCCACGAAAACTTCCAAGCCCTAAAGTGGTGACTAAAGTTTCTCTCTCACTTCTATGGAATCCCGGCTCAACGATGGCCCAATTTTTCAGCGAAAAATACTCGTGAAGAAACAAAAACGTGACAATTTGCAGTGGAAGACGGGTTTTTCGGTATCTCTGAAGCTCGTTCCACTCGTTTGCAATCAGATAGGTTCTCCTGAAGATTTTCCGTTCAAGTATTTCACTTTTTTTTATTTTCTCAACCAAATAACGGGCGCTTCTTGTTTGACTTCCCGAGAAATATCCCTAGAAGTTGGTCGCTCACTGGCTTGTTCCTAAAATATGAAGAACTTTTTCTGGTTTTTTTTTTAATATATTGAGCCCAAGAAATCTGACCACCTCAGTAAAAAAAACAAGTTCGGATTGCTGTGAAAATTTTCAGTGGCCACTTTAGGGTTTTGACGTTCTAAAGATCGATGAAGTGGCCACTTAAGTGGCTTAAACTAAGTGGCCTCTTTAGGAGTCTAAGTGGCATTATAGTCGATGTGCCACGACTTGAAATTTCATGGAACGGCACTCCGTTGGGTGGCCGTGGCCGTGAAAGCGCCTTGCCTTTGCGAATTTCGGTCGCGCTTTCCATTTTTTTTGTTTTATTCGAAATTTTCATTATTTCAACTATGTTTTAATAGTTTTCTTCGTGCCAAAATCATAATTATCTTTTCTAGAGGATAGACTGTTTCATTGATAAAAATAAAAGTAGAGTAATTTTCGAATTTTAAGCGAAAAAATGCGTTTATAATATTTGAAAGTTTTTCATGAGATGGTCTTTGGTTTTGTTCAATATATTCCGTTATTTTACCTTCATTGAGCCTTTATCGACATTTCTTTTTTCATTTCAAATCATGTAAAAAATATCCCAATCAGAAATAAAATACACAGTGAATGATTTTAAAAAAATTGAATGTTTCTACATTGACGAATTTTTATTTAAAAAAAAACAGATACATAAGTTCAAAGGAAAAATTATTAGTTTTCTGGACATTTCGTTCAGCACATCGTTTCCACTATTCCATGTGCCCACTGTGTACGCCCCATTTCTGACGCATAGTTCAGCAATACGATTTATCTAAAGCTCCATTTTAAAAAAAGGAACGAAAACCTTTCTTCAAACTATGGTGCATGTGCTCATGGAAGTACACGTCTTCATTTTATAAGGCGCTCACTTTCTGAAAAAAAACAATTAACGACTGCAAACAGAAAAAAAAAACGATGAAAACATTAAAACATGGCTTTAAAAAAAACACAGAAACTATTGTAGAATATTGTGGCGTTTCACCCGCAAATCCTATTGGTAAGTCGTTGAAAAATTTTTTTGAGAAACGAGAAAAATAATATCAAAGCGATTGAAGAATACATGAAGTTTTTCAAACTTTTTTTTAATCGCTTTTTTCGAGAAACATCATGAAATTTGCTGTGTTCTTTCTTTTACATTTGTACAACGCAATCCTTTTCAACGATAATATTACATTTTAAAGAAATAAAACAATAAAAAAAAACGATCGAAATTAGAATGAAAACCAAAAAAAAAAATTAGCGTGGCCGAAGTTGGCAAATTCGCCAGATGCGCGCTACCGCACAAAATCGAAACAGCGGAGTGTCGTTCCATGAAATTTCAACTTGTGGCACATCGACTATACTAGACCTCTAAAAACTACTATAGTAGTCCCTAAGAGCAAAATAGTGGCTTTTCTAGAGGCGGTTTTAGTGGGCCTTTTAGTTTACGCTCCAAGTAGTCCTTGAGGAACCTCTTAAGTGGCCACTAGAGTTTTTCCCATCGTGTCAGCTCCATAAGCCGCGAAAATCTAATGAAAATTCGCCCCATTGATAATACTGAATTTTTCCAATTTTCTACATTTTCTTCTGAGAAAACGATAATGTGTCCTAAAAAAATATATATTGGTCATTTTTTTCCTTACCTTTTTATGATTCGGCCGTTCCCAATCGATGAAAAACGTCTCTTGGAATATTAACGAGATATTATTGTGCAATAATCCGATGAATTTCAATACACATGCGGCGATGATGTATCTTAGGATAGTCTCTTCCTGAAATTGATCATATTTACTTTCCTTTAACCTAAAAAGGGAAATAACTTCATATAACGGTTGGAAATTTTCTGACATAAGGAAGACCTTGAAAACTGAGGAAAAAAAGAGAAGAATATCCAAAAAACTAAGTCCAAACTACGAATTCTCTCGGTTTTCCGATAAGGACATTGAAAAGCTCAAAAATACCATCAGAAGCAAGAAAAATAGTCCGTTCTGTACAGTTGAACACTACATTCTCGGAAAATCCAAAATTTTTGAAAATCGCTTTTTTCAGAGCCTTTTTTTCAGTACACCAACGAGCTGATTTTTGAAAAGCTCCAAAAAAAAAAAAGGAAAATCCCTTCCTTCTGAAAATTAAACCTGTCTCTCGCTCAGAAGTTTGTAGAAGACGTAAGTTTGAGACTTGTAGGAAAACGTGGTCCAACATGCGACTACAGCCACGACAATGAAGAAAACGTCGCCAAGAAGGGCACATTCATAAAGAACAAGCTTCAGAACGGAAGAAGCGTCGACAGCCGAAACTTTTCCATTCCGTCGGCCCCAGCTAAAAATTGTTCTTTTTTTTTAGAGATAAGGTGAAAAATGAGCCAAAGTTATCCCCGCATTTTTTTCAATTCAAACTTCATTACCTTTAAGTAAAAAAATTTTTGGACAAAAAAACTTTAAAAAAATGAAAAAAATCACTTTTTTTCACCTTTTTATGAAAAAAAGGAAATCCAGAGCAGAGTGTAGAAACTCAAACCTTCTAGATAGTCAATTATTAAAAAAATAAAATTCATACATTCTCTAAATCGTTAAGAGTGAAAAAAAGCGGTGTCAGAAACTTTGAAAATTTTTTTTAATTTAAACAATCTCAAATGTTTTTTAAACATTAATTCTGCACGAACTTCATAAAATTCTCATTTTTTAAATTAAGCTCATCTTTTCTATTGTTCTTATGCCTTGTTCAAACACTGCGTTTTTTCGACGACGCCACGCCCACTTTTACTCCGTGAAGTATCGTGTGTCGTGTGCATGCACTGCGCCGCTTTCGTGCAGAAAATTGCGTTTGTGTAGAGAAATTTCGGTTCGTCTCAAAGAGCTCTGGCTATACGGCAGCCTGCGCTTTTAATATGCTCTGTTATTTACGCTCTTAGAGCCCAAATCAGTGCCGTTCCCATGACGTCACCTGGGAACGGCGGATATTCCGGCTCCGCCCACTGTTTTTTTGGTTAAGCAATTTTGTCCACTAACAAAAACGCCGTGCAAAGTGACTTTTTGAAATTCGAAATATCCGTCAGAGAGAGAAAAAGATAATCAAATTTTGGAGGGCCAGAGAAAATTGTGCGATTCGCGAAAATCATTTTTATCATTATAATATACCAACCTATACGCAGACAAAGCGGCCCAAATGACAGATATCGGACAAATAACGAACATGGTGATTTCGAGGTCCTGAAATCCGAAAAATGAAAAAAAATTGTTGAAAAACCATAATTTTCACCCTGTCAAAAGGCCCGGGATCTCTACCATAAACCACTTGGAAAGAAGATTCGACAGTGGTCCTTTCAAAGTTGTCATTGTAGTCGATTTCGATATAGGGCGGATGGATGAGTCCATCTCCGTTTTTCTGAAGAATTAAGGTTTTCGTTTTTTGAAGGAAATAGTGAATTCATGGCTTGCTTAGGAAAAATGGCAAACTTTCGCGTTGAGGACTTGTTTGAAGCTCAAGCTATGCGCCTTTAAACTTTTAACATTTTTCAAAGATTTCATTTTCAATTTGTCCACGCAATTCTTTCGATTATTAATCGATCCGTTGCTTTAAAAAGACTGAGTTTTCCATGTCTTCAAAAAATATTAAATTCGTGGCCGGCTCTGGGAAGATGACCGATTTTCGTGTCAATTCTTGCTCAAAGCTCAAGCTATGCGCCTTTAAAATTTTATTATTTTTTGAAGATTTCATGTTCTGTTTCGTCCACATAATTCTTAACGTATTCACTCGACGACTCCTGAATTTCTTATCAGATTTGGAGGTTTTTTTTTTCTCAATGTTTTTCGTAGCTTTGACATCAAGTTTAAAGGCGCATGGACAGCGATATTATAAGGTTTTAATGCAAGTGTGGACTCTTTTCACGAAAAATGCCCAACCTGAAACCAAATATGGAATTTAACATGCGAAGCAACACGAACGACGCTTCCATTTTTCGTCGTTATCGAAAAATCATCGAGGAGAAAAAAGCGCCGCGTTAAAATCCAGCGATTTTGCTCCTTCGCTAATCGATTCACGGAATTCGCTCCGGACCTGACTTGCAAATTCAGCACCGGAACTGGGTACATCTGAATGATTATATATTCATTTCAATCAAACGGTTTTCTAACCTTTTGATTGCCATCTTCATCTGTAAACTTCACGAAAGGCTCAATGAATTTTTCCGGACCAAAAATCGATTTATCGGTGTTTCAGTAGAAAAAAAGAGCACTCTCGTTTGTACCTATAAAGTTTATTTTATTGGGAAAAAAAGCTGTATTATCTCAAAAAAAGTCCTTTATTTCAATTTACGGAAAAAAAATTTTATTTAAAAATTTATTTTGGATACTTTTCAAACGGAAGTCCTTGTTTTCAAAAAATGCGAAAATCGTCATTATTCAATTTTTTTTTTCCTACGGAAGATTTTTTTCGGACCAGTTCCAATACTAAAAAAATGTTCATAGAAGGACTTATTTTTTATTGAAATTTGTTTCGACCAATTTACTTCACTACGAAAAAAGTTTGATTTTCACGGTATTTCTTCTACAGTAAGCCTGAAAGTTTCCGGGTTCAAAATTTTCTGGCGGTTGCTTACTATCTATGGTGTTAAGAGCTCTCAAGAAAGAGAAGCTCTCAAGAAAATTTAGAATTTTTGTACAAATGGTAAATCGAAAAACTCTGAGAACGTGTGTTAAGGGGAAAATCGTCATTTTTTTAATAATTTTTTTTTAAATTTCACCTTCTTCCGAAACGGTACGGCGCTCCAGGTTGAACGTCATTCTGACAAAAATGCAGAGGAAAAGATTTCGCGTCGAAAAATCCATCAAAATCTCCCTCCATGTTGTAACTTGAAAACAGTTAAGTACAAAAAAGATTGATGAAATTCCAAACATGGCAAAAATGAGATGAATGACAGAGCGGTCAGAGTTGTCGAAAATATATTGTTGAGTGATGGCCACCTCTTTTCCGAGTTCCGAATCGGAGTCGCCATTGAAATAGAGGGGATCCAGAGTGATTTGCCTACAAAAAGAGATTATCAATATCTAACAGAAAAAATTCGATTTTTCTTGAAAAAAATCCCTCGTAATGTTGTCGAAACGTGATGACGATGAAAATTTAGAAACATACAAAAGGAAATGTTAAATTTTGAATTTTTACTCGGGCAAAGTCCGATTGGTGAATAATGGCCGCTAAAAGGGAGAGACTCGAAAAAGGTCGCAGAAAGGCTGCAAAAAGAGTCATTTTATTGAGCCTTCAATTTTTTTTTCTGAGAATTTAAAGGCTCAAGAAATGGTGAAAAAGGGAGAGGCAGCAAAAATGATGCATAGAAGCTGAAAAAATGGCGCGAAAAGGCACAAAAAATAAACTTTTTCCCATCCTTCTTGACTTTGCCTGTGTATGCATTTGAAAATAGCAATATCTTTTCCAAGAGATTAAAATAGAGTTTATAAATAATCTAGTTATTTTTAATGCTGCATTAGGCTGCGCCGTGCAATCTGACAAAAAAATGACAGTTTTTTTTTAGAAAAGCAAAAATATTAGCATGAAAAGGATTCGAACATTCGTCTCACAAGGGAGGTCATTTTACTTTGCTGTTTGGAAATTTCTACGAATTTGCTCAAACACTCTCTGACTGTCTAGATGAGGATTTTCGATATTTGAGCAAATACGTAGAAATCTCCGAACCGATAGGTAAATTGACCTCCCCTGCCAGGATTTCAATAAATAATATATTTTTCAGCGAATCAAGTTCTTTGCAAAAACTTAAGAGTTGGGACCTTTGAATAACCTTGGATTTTTTTCTCTTATTTTCTACACTACGACCAGAAAAGTACATTGATAAATTCAGAGCACAGTGAGCAATATAGGGTTCACGAAATTCTAAAAAACTTTTAATTTTCGAACTCACCAAGGATTAAAAGACCGACGAGCTTCATCAAACAATCCGCAAGCGTTGTTCGTCTCCCGTTCATAATGTTGCAAGACGCAAAGATTTATCAAAATCTACGAAAAATTTGAATAATTCTTGAAATTACTTTTTTTTGGGATTACCTGGCATTGTTTGATATTTCCTTGAGAACATTGTTGAAAAGCTAAAGGTAGAAGGTCATCGGAAAGTTTCGACCGCATTTCGTCCCCATTTTGTAATCGGATAGTGGTTTTTAGAATGTCAGGTGAACGGCATTTCGAGTTCTAAATGAATATTCGATTCTAAACTATCACTGCCAAAGTGGGAAGTGCGAAAACCGGGTGCGAAAAGGGGGTGGCTGCAAAATGGCCACTAAAAGGGTTCGGGCCTTTCTTTCGTGGTGGGCGAAAAAGCCTCAAAAAAGGGTGAAAAAGGGTAAAGAAAGATTGAGGGTGCAAAAAAGGTGCTGAAAGGCTCGATCATTGCTGATTTCCGATTTTATAGTCAATGTCTCCCGACTTGAAAGGCGAGGGAGGCGGGGCAGGTGGCGGGACGCGTAGCGTGTGCGTACGCGGTTCTTGGCGCAAGTTCAATTCACCGAATATTCAAAAAGCTCGGTCGCCGCTCTTTTTTTATATGTTCTACTATTTTTTAATGCACACATTTCACAAACCAATAAAGAAATAAAAAACAAATGAAAAGAGCGATAAACGAGCTCTCCAAATAGTCGCTGGCGGTCGAATTGTACGCGTGCCAACAACCGCGAACCCACACGATACTCGTCCCGCCCCCTGCCCCGCCTCCCTCGCCTTTCAAGTCGGGGAACATTGAGTATATTACTGTAGAACATTTTGGTTCATACACAGTCAATGGTAAAGATTATTTTCAATTTGAAAAATTCTCTATTTTTCAAAAGGGTCCAAAAAGGTGGATAAAGGACGGGAATGGGCAGCAAAAAGGAAACCGTTGCATCCCGTTTAGGAACAATTATTGGACACCTTTTTTCACCAAGAATGAACCCTCAAAGGGCCCGTAAAGGGTCTTTCCGACTTTATATTGTTTTTTTCTTTCAAATTGTACCAACCGAGCAAGAACAAGTCGAATTGCAGTCTATACAAGAGTTTTTGTCAGGATCCGGTGTTGTCCCTGAAATCCCCTCAATTTTATTTATTTGATTCCATGTTTCTTTACCATCTGTACAAGTCATACAAAAGCTCTCATTTGAAGTCTGTTTCGAAATTGGTAAATAAATTTGATTTACAGAACATTCACAGCCTGAATCGATGCCACAAGAAAGGCAAACGCGTTGATCCGGTGACGGTTTTTGGCCTGAAATGAATACATCAACGATTTTTTTGATTTGAAAAAGACCAGGGAGACAGGAATCGCAGCGATGAACCTGGCCAAGGCTGGAGACTATGATTTGGTCTCGGGGACACTCGCAAAAAAGTCTCGAATCACTGGAAACTGTTCCATTTGCGCAGGTCGCACACCTAAATGATGTTTGTCATGCTACGGAAAGCATATAAGAAAATCTCAAGCCCGTTCAAAGTTCTATTCAAACGTTTCGGTTCGATGAAATAAACGCAGAAATCTTCCAAAAACCTACGTGTACTCGAACAAATTATAATAATATCCCGCAGTACAGTTGAACGGTGTGGAGAACGGCAGGTTCTGTGTGGACCGAAACTGAGCATCAGTCAACGTGAAGAGCAATGAAGAAATTAATAGAAAGCGAAGAAACATCAATTTTTCGTAATTTCGAGAGATTCACGCTTCCAAGCAATATCGTTGCCATGACGACAGAAGTCGTGGCGCGCGCGCTACATGAGAAATTACGATGCCTTGCCAAAATGAGTGAAATTAAAGAGACGAAATAGGAATGAGCGATGCCCTGTGAAAAGTATTTTTTTTATAAATTATACCTTGCGAAATTCAAAACTAACTCAGATCTCTCCGAAGTTTCAACTGTCTTTCTACACCACACCAGTTCAGACTTACAGGGACCCGGCCGGTTTGCATTGCGCCGTCTCCGCTGGTCATACTAGACGGTTTTTGACCTATTTTTGTTCTATTTAACAAAATGAAATCGCTATTTTCGACCTAAATGCAGCTCGCATGCTGAGCAGGGTAACCCCGCCGTGCTAACACGGGGTCTCCGCGGGTGCCCCCGTATTAAACCCGTATAAGCCCAGCTGATAGAACTTTTGGCACTTTTTAGCCCAACTGAGACCCCACTTTAGCCCAGCTGGGTTACCTATTTTTCTTACACCCGTTTTTCCCCCGTTTTAGCCCAACTGAGACTAAAATAACCTCAGAAACACGGGTTTAATACGGGTACACCCGTTGAGACACCTGCTCAGCATGCCAGAGTGCTCAATTTGATTCCGCGTAATGCAAAATGATCTCTGACTCTCCAAAATTTAGTGGTCTTTTCCTTTCTCTAACGGGTATTTTGCATTTCGCGGAATCAAATTCAACACGGCATAATAGATAAAAACTACAGAAAAAAAGACTTTTTTCTTTTTCGAGACGGACTTCTTGAACTAGGCCATCTTTTCAAGACTTGCTGTCATTTGCACTTAATTTTTGAAAATAAAATTGTTTTTGAATGTTCTAATTATGTTTTTCTTCGAATTTGTCTAATTTCTCGTAATCGACGAGATAACTCGATTTACACTCATATTATAGAAATCTGAAAATAAAAATTGGGGAACACTATAGAGACCCATAAAGCTTTAGGGGCTTAGGGGCCAGGCCCTAAACCCCTATAGGGGCCCCTAAAATGTTGACCCTTCTCGGGTTCCCTAAAACAACAAACCCCTATAGGTATCCCTCAGAGACTCCCCATCTGGTGATTTTGAATGGGTGGAAGAGGGTTGCCCAAAACCTTATTTTACACATAGATTGTGAGTTTCACATTGAAAACGGGGAGAAATATCATTAAAGCAAAATTTTTTTTAAAAGCATCTTTGCGACGAATTCGTTTTTTTTTTTGGAAGTTGTGACAACTTTACCGTCCCCTATAGGGGCCCCTAAAGCTTGCAAAAGTGGTCCCTATTGGGGTTTTAGTTAGTGAAAATACTAATCGATAATTTTTATGTACTCCATGCGAAAAACTAAATAAATATAAGCGTTTTTTGAATGAAGTTGAGAGACCTCTATAGGGTCCACTTGAGGTTGAGGCTAAGGGGTTAGACTCTAAACCCTTATAGGGACAACCTTGATTTTACCCATATAGGGACTGCTTTTCCCTTAAACTCTATAAAGACCGCTCTGGAATTGCTAAATATGATGCGAATTCGTGAAAACGATAAAATTAACGTGACTTTCTCCGCCGAGAAACCGTCATTGTGTGTCAAGGAGCTTCGCCGACTAGCTGGAATGGGTAATTTTGTCGACTCATCTCTCTTTTAACCTCTGCCTAACCAGTTAGTGATCTGTTATCGCGGCGAAGGACAGAGTACTTCTTAAGGGATCACTGAAGAAATCCAAGAGATCATTCAAACGGAGCTTTAGTGATCCCTCGAAGAGGCTGACTACTCCGTTTGTCTCGAAGAACTGATCGTCTAACTAGAGAGCGGTTTTAAGCCGCCGGTTGTTCTTTTGATGAAGCTTTGCTGAAGACCTCCTGATTCCAAAACAAGGAAAACATTTCTCGCAATAGATCTGGTTTTCGAATTGAAATGCTTCGGAAGCTTGAAATAGAGGGAGGGTTTTAAGCCTTCCATTAGGCTTATCCCCATGTCCTGTTGATTTTGATACGATATCCAAAGCTCGAGAAGGATGCGAGATTCATTTAACAAGCGAAAATGGTTTCGACGTCATAGATCCTGTTGGCGAAGCAGGAGTCGTCGTCCGAAACTTTTCCGTGAACTAGGAGATTGAGTCCTTGTTTGACCGCGTCGATGTTGACGTTTTGCGACTCCGTGATTGTATGTATCCCTTCATGCGTCGTGACGAAATCTCTCACGACGGCATGTTTTAGATTCTTCAAATCGATTATCTTCGCTGACGCCGAGTCTAGGGTTCGATCCAACGATTTGGAAGTGACCAATTTCAAAGACTGAGAATAACCTTGAGGCGCGATCTCCTTAGCGGTGATCTGTGTAGGATAAATGCTTGCCGAAACAGAAGATAGGACGGTTGGTACATGAGCAACGCTAAGAAAAAGATGTCCAAACACAAAACCTAGCACCCGTCAGAATTTTATCTTAAAAGGGAGGTCATTTTACTTTTCTGTTGGGAATTTCTTGAAAATCGGCCGGAACGCTCTTCGATATACCAGAAAAAAAATTCTAAAAGTCTTTAACCTGCATAACTCCCTCGTTTTATCAGAAAAGAGTCAAATAAAACCCTCGAAACCCATATAACGGGCTATTTTGAAACTTTGGGCCTTTGTTACTTGAAAACTATGGAGTTTTGCAGGTTGAGACTTTCAGGACCTTCATCTGGTACATCAAGAAGTTTTTCTGGTCAATTTTCAAGAAATTTCCAACTGCAAAGTAAGATGACCTTCCTGTCAGGATTTTGAAAAATACGACATTTTTGGGTTAATCAAGTTGTCTGCAAAGCTTACGAGTTAGGAGCTTCGAATAACTGAAGGTTTTTCAATATTTTTTCATACCATGATCAGAAAGTACATAAGTATAATGATTATTAGAGCAGAGCGAGAAACTTCACGAGAGTCTGTAAAACCCTGTTAAAAGCCTTTTGGCCGGCTGCAGGACTTCGTCCATTGTTTCATGAGAGAAAATAGCTGTAATAAGCTGTGGATTCCTACAATAAGTCGAGAAAATATTCATTGCGAGAAATATTTCTCTTGTTTTGGGATCAGGAAGACTTAAAGTACAACTCAGCAAATTTTCTTCAAAAGTCCAACCGGGGCTTTCAAACGGTCTCTGGTAAAAAAAAAACTGAACTTTTAAGTCAAATTGAAAGTTAATTTGACTGGCGAATCAAATCCAAAGATTCTCTCTAGGGCTGCTAAGTATTCTCAAGTTAGTTTTTCGATCCAGATCGCCGCGTTATCTTAAATTTCTTTAACTAAGCTTCAAACGCGAATACTCGACTTTGGAGCGCTTTTTGAAAGTTTATTGGTTGGATCATTTTGATTTATTACCGCTTCTCGCAATATTTTTTCGGGCCATCTATTGATTTGAACGCTAGTTCGTTTTTTCTCTTTCTTCGGGTAGAAAACTGAATTTACTGCTTTCATAAGAAATTTTTACTTAGATTTTAATCGATTATATGAGTCAAGTTCAAATTTCGCTTGTATTGATTGATCGAAATTCGCTTTTCCAGTAGTGAGCTTTTCCAAAGCACGTCTCAAAAGACAGCTGGTCGTCATGTTCCACATTATTCTCTGGACGTTGCCCACGACCTTTGCCATAGGTATGTTTGATTTTAATCAACTGAGACAATTTTTGAAGGGTTTTCAGTGGCAGAATAATCTGACCTGTATTTTTAGATAAATGCTGCACGAGAGCTATGTTTTCGTATCCGTCTGGCGATGCGATTCCGCCTGAATGCTCGGTTGATACGATCAAGTGCACGGAAAGCGTTATAACCATGGAAAACCCCGCTTCGACATCCACCGCAGTTCGGTCTTTTTTATCAAGAGCGACTAAAACCGGCGCAATAATCGTACACGGCAACGCGGATCCACCACTTATAATCAGCAATTTGAAAGAAATATCTCACGAAGGTCCAGGTACGGTTACAGTTAGATAAAAAAAAATCTCATTTCGAGATCTTTCTGAAATTTTGATCTGAAATTTGAGGAGAGACGTAAAAAAAACTTATAAAACTCAAATATTGAAAGATTATTTGTAAAAAAACTCGTTTGAATATAAACTGATCAGACTTTTTTTCTTTTTTTGCTTTTTTTCAATTTTTTTCCTCCCATAGCCAATTTTCCAGATTATTCACACATTCTTTTGTAAAAAACTTGTATGATGAAAAATTCGGCATTTTATGGGTTAGTTTTGCAGGTCCGGCGTTGTTTCTAAAGAATCCAAAGTTGGTTGCCGGCAACTGCTTCAATCAATTACAAAAAATAAGCGTGAAGGATATCTCTACCTATTGTGAAAAAAGAGATCTGCTGCGTCTCGAAGGGGTAACGGCCGAAGTGAGAAATATTCTCGAGACGGTGGCGAATCAAGTGAATTTTGTTTGTATTTTGTTTCGAGCTAGAACAAACTGAAAATTATTGCCGTGTTCAAAGTGATTCCGCGAAATGCAAAATAGCCATCAGAAAAAGAAAGATATAATTAAATTTTAGGGAGTTTTGCAATTTTGCATTTCGCGGAAATCACTTTGAACACGGCATAAAAAACACAAGAAAACGCCTTAGCCGCACGTAGAGTGGCTCGAAGTTTCGGTTTTGTATTTTTGTCGCGTAAATACTTGATTTCTTTGCTCCGATGCGGTCGTCGTTCTTTAGTCGGGCGCTTATTTAAACGACCTCTTAAAAGTAGTTATAAACCCGTTCTTTGAGCTCACTATCAACCAAATAACGAGAAAACTGTCTTGCATTTTTTGAAAACATTCAAAGTTTTTCTTTTCCAGACTCTCCTCGAATGTGAAAAACTAACGACAACAGCCGTAGTCGATACAACGACGACCACGATTATCAGCTCTTCAGTGACATCGAACAACACCTTAGGACTTCCTCACGCATGCGTCCACAACGTTTCTTCTGCCGCCTCAGCGTCAGCCTCGGCTCAAAACAAGGACGAAGAGAAGGAATGCCCTAGCTACAGTAATTTCAATGATTTTCCGTATTTTGAATAACACACCGAACTGCAGCCGGACTGCTGTATGCTGGAACAATAGCTATTGCGTTGCTTTTGATCACGTCGGCCGTCGCGATCACCGTAGCCACAAGGCTCTACTTCTTCAGGAAGGACGAGGATGCCGCTCTTGCCGTATACAGTATATAACTTAGTTTATTCAACAAAAAGAAAAAGAAACCTGCAAAAAAAGCGTGAGAAATTGATAATGGATCTGCAAAAAGTTAAAGAGAAATGAGCATCGCGAATCAAAAACAAACGTGTGCCAAGCCAGTTGTCGGAATGCGCTCCACGGTAAAAACCTCGGAAAATTGAAAATCGCCTTTTATTTTTCTTAAAAAATTTGCAATCGCGAGTAGATCACCTCTGTAGTTGCCACTAAAACGTCAAAACCCTATAGTGGCCACTAAACATTTTCCCAGAAAGTTTATTTTTGTAACTGGATGCGAGATAAACCGCGGTATGCATGACTCTCGCCGCAGTATTGCTATTTTTGAGAAAAAAAAAATTGGCAACTTCCAGAGAACACATTTTGAAAAGAGTTTTCAAACTTCGCTCAAACCTTGTGAACATGATACGTCAGCCTATAATATTTTTTCAGTATCACATGTAACGCAACTAATGAACATGATGATATTTCTCCAATCCGGCAAAGATAACTCGATGCGTTAGTTTCCCGATTCGCATCGCTTTTTGATCAGAATTTTTGTAGTTCATGGCTATATGCTTGATGGTCTTCACAAAAAGAGTGCCCCATTGAGTAAGTTTGGTTTAAAGTCGGAAAACGTTCCATGTTTCGACCAAAAAATATAAAAATTTTAGTTTGCAGTTCAAAGTTTTCTGGGAAAAAAAAAATCACAATTTTATGAATGAAACAAATACCTTAACAGGCTTAACTTACAATACTTCTTAGTTTATGAGAAAAGATCTCGATCCGTTCTAAATCAGAAACAAAAAAGCTTTCCCGGTTTGAGCTCTTAGCGCTTTCTTTAGAAAATCATAAAATGCCCAAGCCTTGCTTTACAACGAAAAAATATTTATCAGCTCTTAGCTGCGAAGTGAAAATACCTTTTTATCAAGAATTCGACTGTTCTTATCAGAAACTTCGCATAGAGAGAATTTTTGAATTTTTTTTTTGGACATTTTCTCAAGATTTCTTACGGAGGTCTTTGAAGATAATAGTCACTTAGGAATGAAACAAATAGGGAACCCAGCCAGTTAACCTTTCTGAGTCTCTTTGAAAAAATTTTTACAAGTTTGAGCGACATAGTTTTTTTTTGACTCTATTAACAACTCTAAGGAGCCTTTTTGGGTTTGTCCTCATCCCTTGGCCAGTCCAAGAAGTCTGCAGTTTTCAAGTTAAATCTCAGCCGAACGATTCAAAAATTCACTTTTGATTACTTGTAGCGCCGGTGTACGGTATTTGAATTAGATTATGGTTTTTTTTTGGCGTGAGTTCGAATTTTTCAGCATGTCCTCATGATTATTTGAAGAACGAAATTCTAGTTAAAAGCGTTTAACAAAACAAATTAGACACCAGAACACCATTAACAGGAAACCTGACCAAGACAGAGTCCAAACAGAGCGGCAAAAACGAGCCTACAACATGATCAGTGCCATCTCATCATCATTTTTTTTCTAGAGGCAATTACGGATAAATACCACGCGCAGGCCAACGTACGAAAGCATAAATTCCAAAAGAACCAGCCTCTAGACCCGAAAAACGGATCTCCTTTGGAAGGCAACATCACACTGGACCCAAGAATTCCGGCTTTCGGATAAACAAGAAAAAACGGAGGAGTTTATCGAAGCAGCTTCGAAATTTGAAACGGTCAAAAAGGCACACATCGCTGGCAGGGAGTTTGAGCCGCCTAAGGGGATTAGAATTTGGTCGGATCTACGACTAGGAGAGCAGGAAAAAATGAAATTTGCCAAACTACCCGAACAGCCGATTGTCGAGATGAAGTCGAAACATAAGCTGCCAAAAGGTCTCCCGAAGAATGTATTGATGAAAAGAAGGCAAAAAGGTGGAGGTGATCCGGCTTCCAAAGCAACCACCAGCGTCGACGGAACGGACAAAAAGGAAGACACAAAGGCTCAAGAGCTGAAAAATGGAGTGCCGAAGACAGAAGACCCGAAAAAAGGGCAACCGAAGAAAGACGACCAGAAAAAAGAAGAAGTAAAACAAGGGAATGAGCCTGTTGTTCACAAAACAGCGGACACGATCGTGAGGAGGGTCTTGAAGTCAGATGAGCCGAAAAAAATTTTCATAATGCCACAAGAGAAGATCCTTCTCGAGGAGTGTCAACCGCTGTCTCTCACGAGCCCAGTTCAAACGAACTACGAGACGTTCAAGACGAAATCCAAAGTTTTTGAGTGGGTTATTTTCTTTTTTTCCTATAATAATGATAACTCACAGGTCTAAAAATTTTTTTAAGATACATAATAAAAATTTAAATCAAACGCGTTTACTAAAAATATCGTTTTAAGGTATGGTAATAAAAACTTGAGAACACGCTTGAATTGTAGATTTTGCGTTTTTTCTTCGATTCAATATTTTTTTACCGTCCGATCAATTTTTTTTCATTCGGACCGCCTCGAAAAGTCACAGTCGGAAAACATCATTTGAAAAGAGAAAATATATAAATTTCATTTTTACAATCGCGCTTATTTTTTTTATTGAGGATGTTGTCAGGGCTTCCGAAATCCGCAATTTCAAGATTCAGTTCCGCCGAAATCTGAACCCAGACCAAAAACGGTTTCTTAAAAAAAAATTAGGGTGTCAGGAATTGCTCGTGGAAGCTGAGGCGGAGAAAAGAGGCGATCCGAACAAAAATCAAAAGATTACAAAGAGCATCTCACAAGAAAAAATATTCTGAGCTAGGTCTCGTAGGTGTTGAAAATTTTGAAAGAAAGAGCAGGCGGTTCGGGACGGAAAAAGTTTATAATTTAGTTGGAGCGGAAGTTTTTTTCGAGCAGTCATACTTTTTCCTCAAGCGCTGACCAAAGCACAATTTACGATAATAAAAACCTAATAAAAATCCACTAGGTCCAATAGTCTCATCGTACTCTGATCACTATCTCATACTTATTCGAAATTCGCACCCAAAAAAAAACGTTATGGTACCTCAGTTGTAAAGGAGAAAGTTTTCAGGGGATACGTTTACAGTTTTTACTCTGGTAATGCAAGAGCTTAGAGATTATTTCGACATTCACGCAAAAGGTATATAGAAAGCTGTGAGAGAAAAAAAAATATTTGTTATTGTGATTTAAGCTTTGGAGATCATCAATTTAAACGCCAACCATGCGGAGATAAAAATGATACAAAATGCGAGATACAACGGCGTCTATGACGTCATGAACGCAAGCTATCCCGGTTTCTCTTCCCCGATTAACTGGCCAGTATGCAAATGTCGCCCTCAACAACCTTCATGTGAGTTTTCACGAAAAAGTTTCATAATTTCATAGTTTTCAGTCGCTTTAAATGCAATGAAAAAATCGTGAAAAAGAGCAGTATTGAAACTTAAATGCTAATAACAGAAAAGAAAAAATTGTGATCAGGAAACTGTGAAAAAGGGAAAAATTAATCAAAGAAATTGGTACATTGTGCCAAAAGCCGCACCGCGACCGCAACGAGTTTCTACGGTAACCACAAGTAACAAAAAATTAGAAAAATGCATCGAGTTAAAAAAATAAATATCATTCACTCATTTTGTTCAAAAAACTTTCTGTGCGTATTTTTAAACTTTTTATGTTACGAAAAGACCTTTTGCAAAGTTTTTATCGTTAGCTCTGAAGCTTACCAGAAATCAACTAGGCGCATTTTCATTGTAGTTCGCTTTTTCGATGTCGACGACCCGAGAGAATTTTTTTTTTTCAAAATATTCGTTCAAATTAAATCAAACTTGTTCATTTTCATTTCGAGTGAAACTGAAAAACAGCTTGAGCAGAATGACTAAGAAATAATTTGGCGGCTTCCAATTTGCTTAGGCCAGCAAAACGACGGTTCAAATCGGCGTGAATCTTTCAGTTCAGACGAGTCATTTTCAGTGGCCTACGATGAACTCAAAAGGTTGCGCGCTTCCTCTTCAAAAGCAAACGAGAAGCGGCTTCTGGAGTTGTTGGAGGCTCAACACGAAGAGATGGCGAATCTCTTGCACGCCGAAGGGCTAAACTATTTTTATTGGTACAAAAGTTCGTCTCTTCTCTTTCTTGACACTTTTCGACGAGTATTAAAAAGTCGAGAAAAAAAAAATAATAAAAATGAAAATTCCAATTTAATAATGATAATAATATTATTTATTTACAGGCAGAACAAAATAACATGTACAGAAAAAAAGAGAAAAAAATTTGGCATTAAGCCTGAAATAAATAAATAAAAGGCACTTGAGGCCCTCACGAGCCTCTGAGCCAGTAATGAAAGAATAAGAGGTGAGGATTGCACAAAGGTAAAAAAAGTAAATAGAAAAAGAAAGCATTGTAAGTTATGACACAGTGTAGCACAGGTGAATGGGGAATTTAATTGTTTGTAATGATATAGACGCGCATAAGATGGATTAGAGTATGGCTGAAGCAATTTGAGAATCAAAAAAAAAAAACCCGTGATAAACTTCTAATTTTTTCAGCGTTCGTCCCCGTCGAACAAGCGGTTCTGCCAGGGGAGTCTTTCGGTGACGCTTGTAAGAGAGTTTTCAGTAAGTTCATTCATTCCGTTTGTACTTCCACTCTCCTACATATCGTAGGGCACACACTCAATGATTTTCAAGCTCAAATGAATGAGATTTTTTTTTAGGTTCGCACGATCGTTCCACAGAATTGGGTGATCTAATGGCCCTCGTTCATAACTCTCCACATCCAAATGAGAAGCTCCCGAAAGCAAAAATCCTGCCCGCTCCGAAAACGTCCAAAGAAAAAAAGGAAAAAGACTCGAATGAGAAGGATTCCAAGGACAAAAAACCGAAGAAGGCCTAAAAGATGGCATCGGAAACTCTTCCTAATGTTTTTCAAACCTTTTTTCAAATAAATAATTTTTTTAAACACAAAGTAGCGTTTTTGCGCATATATATACTTTGAAAATCCGCTAATGGAAATATATTGAGACACAGGTAATTGTCACCATATTCATCTGACAAAACGGAAATTGTTCCGAAACAAAAATTAGTACTGTTTTGAAGAAACTTTCGTGAACCGATGATCACGCTTTTGCGTTTCGAGACATGTTATCACAGTGTTCCCAAACGAGCGGCAGCTGTGGTCAGTAGGCGTGGAGTAGGCGTGGCTGACTGCAACAGCGGCACGGTTTATTGCAATAGGGGCGCGGGAATGAGAGTCAAGTTTGTGGATTTAGTGGTTGGAAAAAGACCATTAAATGATGTTTTTCCTAGGTTCTCGCAAGTTTTCAAAGATTTTTGATGTGTATTAAATTATAATTTTTGATGTGTATTAAATTTCCGTGTAAAATCTTCACTCGAAGTGGTGCTCTCATTCTGAGGCTTCCACCTAGAGCACGGTCTCCGGGCTCCAGCTACACCATCCACTACATTCTGAGCTCGTCAAGGCGCAACTGGATGGACTACGCGCAGAAGGACGAGGCGAAGGACCGTAAGACCATGCTTTCAACTCTTTCGACTACACGTTTGGACTTCTAGCTCGCCAAAGGCGGTTGTTCGTTATAGCTTTCAAAGTTCTTGTTCACCGCCTAGTCGATACATCTATGACTAAACCAACAAAATAAATGATTTGATTTGATTGATTGATAACGAACAAATTTAAATGAAAAAAGAGACGAAAAAGTTTTTGCAAATCAAAATATCTCCCAAAATGTCGTTTTTTAGGAAAACTCGTCAAATCGAACTTCCAAAGGAAAAAGCTCAAAGCACTTCTCTTAAAAAATACCATTTGAACGTTTTAAAACAAAAAAACAGATACATAATAGCTTGTGCGAATAAAGTTGTCACCCAAAAATTACATTTTCAAGAATAAATTCGTCGAATACTGCCTCGAAAAAAATTTTTGAGAAAAAAATCTCACAGCGTTTCTCTTAAGAAAGTCCATTTGAAAAACTCTAAAACAAAAAAACAAACGAAATATCTTATGCGAAATAAGTTGTCATCAAAAAAATGTCATTTTAATGCGAATTTCTGTGACGAGAACAATCGAAAATCACTTCAAATCTCTGGAAAACGCGATAAACACGTTTTAAGAACACATACAACGTGAAAAAATACGAAAGAATGGTAAAATACGCAAGAAAAAGGGAAAAACCGTATTAAAAGTGAATGAAAATTTGTGGGGGTGACACGCGCCGCACCGCGTTGCGTTAGAAAAAACTCGCGTTTTCGCCCCATTGCGACGACCTTTTTTTTCGCTTGCCGCCGTCTCTTTTGGAACACTGTGGTTATGTTTATCCAGTGATCACGTCACAACCCTGCCTCACCGTCAGCCTAGGGCTCTGCGGAATCTGTGAACGGTGCTTCGCACCAAGCCATTCTGAAGAACGGAAAAAAAAACGCAAAAAAGCAAAAAGCGTGGTTTTGGAGAGACGCCAAGTGAAGTAAAACTTTCGTGGTGAGACTAATAATAACATTACACGAGCGCGGAGTTGAAATCGTGAAGAGTTTTTATTTTGATTTTTACGTCTTTTCAAACATATTGCATTTTTCGACTTTTTATCTTAGCGAATATTTTCCGAAATAAATAAGTGATGATGTTTTTAAAAGAACAAATGGAAGAGCTTCGAGCGAAAATGAAAAAGTTGAAATGTACGGAAGAAATGAATCACTTAAATATTTAAGAAACTTCGCGGTAAATCGCATGATTCTTTTTGATTATGAGGTAGAGTTATCAAAAAAATTATGAAGATTGTTACGAGTCGGTTTATTTACAACATGGAGAAGAAAGCGAACAAGAAGAGCAACAAAAATCGCGTAAAATACTGAAAAAGTTATGAGCTTACACAAAAATATTTTACTTGGATTATAGATTCGTATTTGGAGTTTTGATAAAATTTATCAACTGTTGCTCCCAGCTCAACAAATTTTTTTTTTTCTTTTTGCACTTTTATGCGGATGAAATCAAAGAAGTGATAATCAAATAAAAGACTAAAGCGGTTAAAAAAAAACTCATCGTGATCGTCGAAACGTCCTTCGTTTCCATACTTCCAGGCCACTAAGAATAACTGACGAGATAAACGCGAGGTCGGTGGCGGTACATTGACGAACTCGCAAACATGTCGCTTTTTTCTAGGCGCGATCTCGCATTTTTCTGGGCGCGAGCTCGCATTCTTCTCGGCGCGACCTCGCATTTATCTTGCATTTCGGAAATTTTCAAAATGCGAGAGAAATGCGAGCTCGCGCCAAGAAAAGTGCGAGCTCGCGCCCAGAAAAATGCGAGACTGGCGCGAGAAAAAATGCGAGATGTTTGCGAGCTCGTCAATGTACCGCCAGCGTCTCGCGTTTATCTCGGCAGTTATTCTTAGTGGCGCTGTGTTCTTCTCTCGTGGTCGTCTTTTTCCTTTTTCTTCAGCACTTTCTTCCTAAAAAACTTTTATAGAGCGATAGAAAAAGGTTCACACGGAAAAAAGTTAACATCGACTAACATTACATTTATTATTATGAAATCTGAACATTACGCCGATTGCTACCAAAACTATTACGGAAAATTTAAAAAAATTTACTAATGATATGCAAAAATTATCTCCTAAAATAAGTCGTTTTAAGAAGGAGGGACGATGGAATACGTCGAACAGCAAAGAGTTGAAGAAGAAAACGATTTTTTAACACAATTAAAAAAAACTTGAACTTGAACGAAGAAAAAACTTTTTTTGAAGCTAGAACAGAGAAACAGTTAATATTTGCTCATTCATCTTCATTATCAAAACGAAAAAAATGTTAAGAAATCAAATTTTAAATAAAAATAAATTTTTAAACATTTTAAAAATTTTTTTCATTGCTGCTAAAAAGCAATGAAAAAAAGATGAAAAGAAGTATCAGATATCAAATATCAAATAAAAATCAGAAAAAAAGTAATTGAGACGGTTTTGCACGAGGAAAAACTGCATTTACAACAATTTTGACAAAAATTGTTTTTGAAAAAAACAACCGCGCGCAAGGTGAAAAAAATTTTTTTCACAGCATTTTTTTTTCATAGAACGCATATTAAAAACATTAGATTTGCGTTTTTTTGTCAACATATAACATCATCTTCACAAAAAGAAATTTTAAAAAAAGTTTAGAAATTCAAATTTTTTTCAATAAATTGAGTCTTATATCTTCTGAAACACGCGTCCTATGAACTAATTTAACGAAACTTTGCTGAGATAGAGGAATTTACTGAAATAGAGGAACGAAAAAAACCTCCAAGTTGACCAATAACTCAGGCGCTGGTGCGCGCACGCGCGGGGGTACTGATTCTTTTTTCGCCTTTTCCACTGAAATACGGTTTTGGAAAATTTTTTTCATATTTTTGTGATACTACCCAGTGCCCCTGCTCACGTTTTAAAGTTGTTCCGAGCACTTTCGAACAAATTTATGAGAAAAAAATTGCTAATTGAAATTTTGATATTTCAAATTTTTTTGTGCAATCTAATAATTATAAACTGGTGCAGAGCAATGATAAGAGATGAACAGACATGAAAATATTAAATTTATAACTTTTCAATTAATTAAAAAGCAAAAAAGACACCCCGCGCGTGCGCGCAGCAGGCGGCGCGCATGCGCCCTTTTGGCAACAAACACGCGCGCGCCGTCAGTGCCTGAGAACGACAGAACGGGTGAAAAAATTTGGCGGGAAAAAGCAGCAAGCGCGCTCTATGGCTATTTTCGAAAGTTTTACACTCCGCTCCACTGCGTGGATTCGCCGTGAATAAAAAAAATAATGGCGTGGTCATCGGACAAACCGAAAATTGCTTCGAAACGCAAAAAACTAGTCCAAAACAAAAATTAGTACTGTTTTGGAGCGTCGATGAACACGATTTTTCTTTTTTAAAGCATGTTCCGTTTCTCCGATGAACACACCATTAAAACAGAAATTATGAACGTCGCAACTCCTCGCTCAGGGGGAAAACGGCATGCCAGCGCGCATCTGATAAAAGAACTCTAACAAAAATGGGGGTGTACCCCGCAGTGAACCCCGAAAAAAGTGAGCTTTTCGTTAATTTTTGCGCTGAACCCCGCGTTGGACCTGAATGGGGTGAACCCCTGGGGCAACCGGTCAGAAATGAAAAGTTCTTTTTGAGCTACCGAAACGACCTAGGATGAAACGGTAGAAAATGGTGATATTGGGAAACAAACCACTTCGAAATTCTGTACGGAATAAGTACATTAATAGGCATTTAAAGCTAAACGGGGTGCACCCCTGGTTACACTGCGGGGTGAAACGAGAGTTGGACGCGGGGTGCACCGCAACTTTTGTTAGAGAAACGGCAGACCAGCGTGCATGCACCAGTTTAGAGAGCACTGTAAACTTGGAGAGACCAGAATCGTGCGCTGGCCTGCGGTTATAGGTCATTCTGCGCTAGCTTGTCACGCTTTTCTTTCCGCAAAACGGCGAGGTAAAATTTAACCAACTTTCGCTTCAAGACCTTTGTTTCTTGCCGTTATAAACGCAGAAATTTGATCTAATTTGGTATGCGGTCTTTTTGGCGGAAAGAAAAACGTGATAAGCTGACGCGGAACAAGCTTTACATGCGCCGGTATGCTGTTTTGTGTTGAATTTAGGGTGTTTTGAAAAAAAAAGCCAGCGAATTAGCGACTTTTCCGATTTTTTCATATCGCCAGGGAATTTTCCGACGAATCCCTTTCCCACTTTTTTTTCCTTATATTTTGGTGATGGTATGAAAAAAAACACCAGCGAAAATTCAAACGGCGACTTTTCCGATTTTTTAATATCGCTAGGGAACTTTCCGACGGCCACCTTTCCGACGAATCTTTTTCCGACTTTTTTTCTCATTAAACTTTTCGTTTTAAATCTCCCTATATAAAGTAGGTAGTTGGTTAATGATTAAAACACAAAGAAATAGAAAAAAATGTTTATAGATGTTTTATAAACCGAAAAACTTAAGAGAAAAAAGTCGGAAAGGGATCCGTCGGAAGATGGTAGTGCTATATGGAAGGTGAAAATAAAAGCGGGTCCTAATTGCGAATATTAAAAAGGGTCGTCGATTATTGCGCCGGGTACGCAAGCAACGGATCCTACGCGCGACGGTAAAAATTGGGAAGGACATCTCTGCGCCGGATTCCGGTTCTCATTTTCTTTGATTTTTTCGTCATTTTTTTTTTGTTTAACTCGTCATTCTGATCAGTAATACAGCATTTTGACTAAAACAAGAAATGAAATAGTCTTCAGACTTTTTGTCAAACGAGAAAAAAAATTTTTTTTTTTTAATTAGTGTAAGTAAACAGTTATAAAGGTACTTTTTGCAATTTTTTTGAATAAATCGACGCGCAAGAGTGAAAAAAAGGAAAAAAAAATTATGATCCCACAAAAATTTTTTTAGCATTCGAAAAAAATTTCATTCAATGTTTTTTTACGTTCAAAACTCAACGCCAAAATATCGTATTATTCATCACAAAAATTAATTAAACAAAAAAAAAAATGACGAAAAAAGCAAAGAAAAGGAGAACCGGAGTCCGGATCCGGCGCAAAGATGTCCTTCCCAATTTTTACCGTCGCGCGTAGGATCCGTTGCTTGCGTACCCGGCGCAATAATCGACGACCCTTTTTAATATTCGCAATTAGGACCCGCTTTTATTTTTACCTTCCATATCGCACTACCATCCGTCGGAAAGGTGGCCGTCGGAAAGTTCCCAAGCGATATGAAAAAATCGGAAAAGTCGCCGTTTGAATTTTCGCTGGTCTTTTTTTCATACCACCATTTTGGTTTATAAAACATCTATTAAAATTTTTTTTTTCTTCTTATTTCTTTGTGTTTGAATTATGAATAATTTGCCTACTTTGTATAGGAAGATTCAAAACAAAGAATTTCGAGAAAAACGTCGGAAAGTTCCCTAGCGATATGAAAAAATCGGAAAAGTCGCCGTTTGAAATTTTGCTGGTCTTTTTTTCATACCACCACTTTTCGAATAATTTTTGGGTCAACCTTTTAATTCGATTTTAAATGCGCAAAAGTGTTTTAAAATAAGAGTTGAGGCCTTTTTCCACCAAAAACTAGGAAAATTAAAAAAAAAGAGTTTTGAAAACTCAATGACAAGATTTTTGGAAATCAAACTTCGAAACTGATCTATTGTGAAGAAACGTGTACTTTAGAACCTTTTACACCTTGATAAAGCCCCAAAACCTGTTCAAAGTTCAAAAAATTGAAAAAATAACCATCTCAAAAAACCGACCAACTTTTCCATGCCGTGTTAAAAGTGATTCCGCGAAATGCAAAATACCCATTAGAGAAAGGGAACTATCACTAAATTTCGGAAAGTCAGAGATCATTTTGCATTTCGCGGAATCAAATTGAACACGGAACCAGCATGCCAAATTTATAAAATTCGAAAATAAGGTACTTTTCTTGAGTATTTTATTTCATCATTTACGGTATTTTCCGAATCCCAGTCTTTTCTCCGCAATTTTCAACAAATCAAGTTAAAAAAATTTTTTGAAGACAGAGGACCTGACCGGCATTTATCCATATACATGAAAAAAAGTTCAAAAACGGTATAAACCTCAAAAATAATTTTTTTTTAGAGTTGAAAATTCTCTTTGGGCTAGTAGAAGGAATAAAAACGATAGCATGAGAAGAAGTTCAAGGTGAGTTGATTCATAAAAAAGATCCAATTTTTGAATTTCAGATCCAATGGGTGTTCGAATGTGAAGAACTCGGGCCGATTAGACAGAGGTGACACCAGGAGCAGACCAGATAGCGACTTTCTATAAGTACGTTCACATTTGCTTTGAATAGGAACTTTTAAGAAGTCAAACTCTTCGCTGAGAATCTCATTGTAGGAGAATAAGAAAGTTGAAAAGCAAAGTTTTGAGGACCTTTTCAACCACTCGGCAAGTACCAAAGTCACTTTCAATGTTTTCAAGCTCCCTTTTCCCAACTCGATGTTCCGACAAAAATGAAAAACTTTTTCCAAAAAGTGTTACAAATATTCAGGGTTTCAATGCGGCCTTTTTTAAAATTCTTTTATTATTACAAAAAAAGACGAGTAATCGACGTGTTTTAAGGGGGAGGGCCTAGGCTTCAGTCCTCGTTCTGAGCAGTTTCCTCTTGAGTGGGACATAGGTCCTCTAGGAGTTCCTGAAGGAGTTTTTCAACTTTTGATCCAGACAAAGGAGTAACTGACTTGGCGTCTTATCGGCTTACTGCGGCGTTTTTTTGGAGGACGCCCCTTTTTTACGCCTTCTGCGTCTTCATTTCCCTGTAGTGATAGGATTTGTTTTGTCAAAGAAAAAAAACTTGGATTTTAAGAAGTTTTGCCATGGAATTAAACTCATTGGGGGGTTTTTTTTCGGAACTGACCTCATTTCAACGCTTGTCTGCATGTCACTTTATTATTTCAATAGATTTAGATCATGATTTGAGAATTTTCAATCGATTCAGAAAAATTCTTTTTTGAAATGCTTCTTTTCGAGCTTGTGCAAACTCACGAGGCTCTGTTCCGTTTCCTGTGTGGTTGTCTTCGGCTCACCTTCGGCCTGAAAAGAAAAATTGAATTAGAAACTAATGTGGACACTGACTTTCTTCGACTCTTTGTACAGGACTTTGAGGAAGTCAACGGCCTGAAAGTTTCCTTGAGATTCAATCAACTAGACTCGATAACTTCTCTCATTTGCGCTCGATCCTTCATTCTGTAAGTCCACATTTTATCTTCGACAAATGAACGAAGGGTCGGGGGGGCATCGAGTTTCTGACAGGTCGTTCATCTCGCCATTGAGGATCTCAAAACAGATTTTTGTCTGACAAAGCTAGAGACCGCAAAGCCACGCCCCTTTTTGCGATGGTGAAATGCACTGGTTTTTTAGATTTCGTGTTTGATGTTTTCGTAAAAGCGCAATACTGAACCAAACACAGAGAAAATTGGGACAAACATAGAGAAAACCTCCCTCTTTAATCTGATATACTTTTCACCCGATTTCCGTAGCGTTTTAGCGAAGTGTCGTACAAAAAACCAAAACTACTTTTTTTCTTCGGGTTTTTAACCTAGTTCCATCTCGTTGGTGCCTTTTTTTATTTTCGAATTCGATTCTTAAGTGAAAAACAAATCTTTTTAAAAACAAAAATTAAAATTTTTACGGTGCCTAATCTTCGTGAGGCCGCGCAAAGTTGAAAAATGTTGTACTCGGTTTCGAGAGCGTGTAAGTAAAAAAATTTTTTTATTTTTAACTTGCGTTTTAAATTATAACTAAAAACTTTATTAGTATACAACTTATTCCGAAAAACTTTGTTTTTTTGAGATAGACAGTGAAAATTTCGAAATTCATTTTTAACATGGTCAGATGTCCTTGGCGCCTTTTTATTTCTTAAATGTTAGCGTATCTCATTTTTTTCAATCTGTTAAAAATAAAAATAAAAAATTTCCACGGTGCCTAAAAAGTTTAATCAGTGTTATGTTGAAGCCAACGTTAAAATAAGAAAAACACCGAAAACGGAAGCATTTTTGAACTGAATCTCTATGAATAAATTATTTTTTTAGGTGGTCCGAACACACGTGACTAATAATTGTTCAACTACCATAACTTTTTTTAAACAAGATTGTCGGTAAATGCTGTACTTTGAGGGGAAGTGGTGTATAGCGCGAACGCCTCCCATCTCCGAGGGATGTACGTGGAGCAGCGCAAGTGCGCTTGCATACAGTTTTGATATCGCGAGTTCGATCCTCGCAGCGGCCATTTTTATTTTTCATGAAAAATAGCTTTTATCTTCAAACTTGTGGTTTTATACTGTTTTAATAACTTATTACTGTTTTGACCATAACTTTAGTTTTTTTCGAAAAAAAGGTTGAGACTGTTTTTGAATAGTAAATTAGAGCAACTATTCAACCATAGTAATGTTGAAGTTCAAAAAAATTTTTGAAAAATTTGGTTGCGGTCCCTAGACAAAGCGTCTTTTATTGAGAAGTTTAGAATTTTTTCATACGTTTGCGCTATCAATTTCTGAAGGGTTGTACGAAGATTCCGGGAAGTTTATTTTGTTTGAGAGATGGCTTTTGAAAGTTGAGAAGTATGAGTTATTATTCTTGATTTTGTGTAAAACATAGGTTTCGGAATATTACGTCTTGAAAGCTTGAAGTTTGCGCAAGTCTGAGCTAAAAATAATGTCTTCATTTATCTAGATTTTCATTATGCTCGGGCGATTTCATAGTTCCAAGTTTCTATAATATTTCCCTTGTAGATGAAGTCGAAGTACTTTTTTTCCGCTATCAAACAGAATTAAAAACGCTAAGCTCAGCGTACAAAACAGTGATCAAACTATTGCGATTCCAAAAATTTCTTTCTCAAGTTGGTCATGCCATTGAATATGTTTGAAGCTTCTGAGAAAGTTTTTCTGTAATTCCGCTTTCCCTTAATACTTACAACGGCAAGAGAATCAAAAAGAATAGAACATACTTTTTGCCTGGCATCAGCAGAACTAAGCTCCTCGTACGGCATGAGTCCTCCCGAGAAAATCTCGTACAAGAGATTCTAAAATAATCCATTTTTCTCTGATCCTATGCAAGCCAACTCACTCCGAAACAAAAAAAGTCCGTTGCTTGGACAAAGACGAATGTAGAGAGAGTCTCCGGCGCAAGATAACGCGTCGGCAGTTTTTCTGCCTTGGTCATGAAATAGAAGACCCCGGCCGTGGCAAGGCCGAGGTCCGAGATTTTGAGCTAGAAAAGATTTCTTTCTTTGTTCTGCGGATAATTGGATCGAACCGTGAGATCGGAACTTAAGAGGCAATTACGGGCAGCCACGTCGCGGTGTAAGAATTGCATTGCGTGTAGATATTCCAAACCTTTTGCCGCCTGAAGGGCGAACTTCAGCAGACGGGAGTTGTTGGACTCGTCGAATTTTCGGAGCAGGAAACTGTCCAAAGAGCCGCCTGGAAAATATCGCTTCGTTATGATTACCTTGAAGAAAAAAACTAATTCAGTTGGATCAGTCAAAAACTTTCATTCAAAATTTCAATTTGTAACAGCTCTCAAAAGAGTGAGTTTATTGGATTCCTGAAATTAAAGAATCCTTTTTCAGTACCTGAGAGCTAAATCCAATTGAATTATAACTTCTTTTTTGAACTATTTTCCAAAATAGGAATTGCTCACTTTCCATCATTTCTATCAAAATCATGAACGGCTGTTTGTCGATGGCCCATCCGTAGATTCCGATGACGTGTTCATGTCTCAGTCTGAGCATTGTGCGGGCTTCGTCCAACATTCTCTCGCTGAGTTCATTTAGATTTGCACTATCTTTCAACAACTGTAAGAAAATTATTTGTATCCGAAAACACTCCTTCGATTGTACTCACCGCCTTGACGGCGACTTTCACTGGGGCCATACCGATGCACTTTACCTCGGCTTGGAAAACCTCGCCGAAGGCGCCCGTTCCAAGCGAAAATGATAGATTTTATTATGGCTGATAGCTTTTTTCGAAAATCGTACAGCAAAAAAGGTCGTTTTTGTTTGAAGCACTTTTCTTGGCCCAATTCAAAAATCGAATCCTCTTTCTTTCAGTCACTTTGGTTCTCTATTTAATAATCTTGATGGGATAAATGTGTTTAACATGTGTTCATAATACATAT